TGCCGTTCTTAATGGCTATTTTTTAAAACATTTATGGTATTTTGTATATACCTCCACAACTCTTCTTCAGTGTTAGATGTGGAAGCATACACTCTTGTTTTCAGAGCGCCCCAAAGATATAATAGTCGCAAGGTATTAAGTCTGGTGAACAAGCAGGTCAGTTAACGGGAACATTATCCCCTCTAACGATCCATCGTCGAAAGAATCTTTGGTTCAGATACTCCCGGATATTTACAGTGAAATGTGGTGGAGCGACATCATGCATAAACCACATGTTAGCTCTGAGTAATAACTGCACATATTCCAATAAATCGAGTTTTCTATCGAAATCGAAAACTCTAAATAAAACTCCCCATTCAGTCTATTGGGTAGAATAACAGGGCCCATAATGATGCTATCAATGATCCCAAACCAAACATTGATGCGAAATTCATGCTGATAATGTTTCACTTTGACAAAACGTGGATTTCTTGAGCATACATATGTTAATTGTGAATATTTATTATTCCGCTTCTGGTAAAACAGAATTGGCAGGTAAAATGACTTAAAGATCAAACCGAAATTACAATCAACGTACAAAATCAGAGTCTACTGGCACTTTGTTAAGTAATGTAATATGGGTGGCAAGATAATGTATACATTTAAAAAATGTTTGTTTGTACCCAAACCGCTCATTTAATTAATATTCTACAAGAGGTCCAAAAACTTCCAAATGTAATCACCTTTCAAATAAAAAATAGTCGTCATTATTGCCCAAAAGAGGAAAAAGTTATGAACGGATATTATCACCATACATCAATTTTGTAGTTCTAAGTTTTAAAAAATACTCTGTATAACACCAAAATGTGTAGATTGAAAGCAAAAGACCACACCCCAAACATAATCAAAATCGAATAATATGTATTCGAGTTATTTACAAAATTCAAGGTCTTCCGTTGTACACCTTATTCTGGGACATCCTTATATGCGTAGATATATTAAATAAATACTAAAATTTTTTCAAAATCTTATAGTTTTTTTTTGCTAACACATTATTGTTGAAAATGTTTAAAATACTTGTGTAAATATTTACAAATGTTCTAGATCAGACGTATCACATTCATTTAAACAATGATTACATAAATTAAAGTTACAAAAGCAACACAGTAGTATAGGAAGGAAATAGTACCAATCTTGTAGTACAACACAAACAGTTTTCAGCAAACGAATTTGTCAAACATTGTTTATAAAGATAATTATTACTTCTTATGACTCTATCACAAACAATTTCCTGCTAACAAGTGTTAATAAAATGCATTCCAGTTTCTCAAGCAAATCAATGTATTATGATTTGTTTTTTATAGTTATTCACAACCAGGATGAATATCAAGAACAACACTGAACACGTCTCTGTATGTGCCAGAACGAAAGCTATAATAGACCCTTTTAGTGCGACGTCACATATTTAGGCAACCCACAACAAATAATTGTCGTGGTTGAAATTGTACAGACCGAATCTGACCCTTGTGTACTATTTACATAGATACTAGATGAACAACTTATTTTTTTTTACAATGATTTGGAAGTATGTATTTAATACCCAACACGTGTTTCGTAAAATATACATATAGGTACACTAATGTCCTTAAATCTTACAAAAAACGATATAAAAGAATATTCCTGAATGAGCTTTTGTTGATATGTTATCGCTGTCATCATTAGCGTATTTTCTCTTGTTTTGTCTAATCTTAGCAGTTTCTAGTTCTACTAAGTATTGTTATTGTTTTTTTTTTTGGTGTTGCACTGTGTCAGTTTGTTTATCGAGTGTTTTTTTCTTAGTGGTTTATTATAGACGTATACTCTTAACCATAACCAAACTTTCCTTGAATGATATCCTGTTGCGAGGCTACTTTCGCTTAGGTACAGAAATTATCTTCAATGCGCATGCTCAGTAACATTGATATAATTTTAATTTATTAATTACTGTAAAAGTCAATAATATTGTTCTATAAATTTAAATATATAAATTCTATAATTCTATTAGTTTGAAACTTCCAAAATTTTTCTAATATTGCCAGAATATCGCAATATTTAAGGTCATGACATAGAACCCATTTGTATAATTCAATAGGACAATATTTTATTTTGCTGCAATAAAAGTGATACCTACCATTTTTGTGAAATTATGCGAAAATAATTTTTGTACCTGATTACAGTTGTGACCGTTATTTTAACAACAAAATAAAGGACCGCATTAACATAATAATTTTTTACAGAGCGTTTGATTAAATTTGACTAAATTTTAACGAGGCACTTGCAAATCAAAAAAGATTTCCTGCAATTGTGTGAAGTAATGTGAAACGTAGTGTCTAATTTTAATTTTTTATTATTAACATTTATGCCAAATGAGGGTGATTACTGTATTTACGATTCAGGATGACATGAAAATAATTAGTATTGATTTAGTTCCTTTAACCATTAATATAACTAAGTATTATTTATACTGATTTCCTCAACTATTTTATGCAACATATTAAACCATATTTTCATTAATTTTATACACTCTGTGTATCATAAGCAAAGCGTTTCGGGACATATTTTTTAGCAAGGTTTTTTTGTTAGTTTACGATGTAGAATCTTCAATTAAAGTTCAACATTTTGTTACACTCCTGTATAACGATTACGATTACGATTACGAAATAATGAAATGCCTTCGAAGGGGTTCCAGTCTTTAAAAGTGAGCCCATGGATGTTGTGTCTTTCTAGAAATCACCGAAGTTGTTACAGATACTTAAAAAAAATGAAACTGCATATTAATGTTAGCAACTGAATCAAATTGAAACTAAATTTTGATAAATGGTATTAGTTACTGTTTGATCCAAATATTGATGGAACAGCATTTTTCCGTCTGTGTTTATATACTTTTTCTCTTGTTTCTTATTGTTTCATGTTACGCTGGATCATGTAACATGGCAAGCTAATTAATTGTTATTTCAAGAATTAAAACAAGTAATAATTCGGAAATAATCTAAAGTCACGTACGTACAATGATTTTTACTAATGGTATACTCCATCAGCCAGTCACCGTTCGGTTTTTGTCTTTATCTAAATATGCCCAGATAAAGTTTTGACACAAAAACTTGGAATACTATAGATATTTTGACATGATAATAATATTGTAAAAAGTGTTCAGGAATGAGAAACCGATTTTATTCCGTGTTTGAATGAACTAAATGTGAGACTAAATATTTAATTAGAAAAACTCAAGAGATATTGTTAATTAAAAATTTATTAGAACTGAAATGTGTTACTAAATAAATATGGAGCATAAAATAGATATAATTGTGGAAATTTGTGCTCTGCTGGCTGAGCAGGAAAATTTACATGTGACGGTATATGAGTCGGCGAAAGGTGCGGGAGTAATTGGGATCACAGCACTATTGGGTGGATTGTTTGGAGGAAAAAATGGACTTTTAATTGGTACGTAGTAATTTTAGAGTTACCTACATTTTTATCCAGATATATCATTATTTATTCATATTCACACCCTACTGTACTTTTAAGAATACATCAGAAATTAAGGTAAAAATGCCTGTCATGGCACAGAAGATAAAACAATTTCTGTGACATAGGTACAATATTTTTCAACAATCTTTCCAAGACGTTGCCATTCTAATATTGTCTTTCATTTCATAATTATCTAAATCCTTGCCAATAACTGGTAAATTTACAGTTCACCTTTTCCATCTCAGAATAAGACATTTATTTAATTTTTTATCTCTTTTCGGTTTTTACAAAGTACCAAGGTATGCTGCCATAATTTTGTTGCTTATACCATTTTATTCCCAAAAGCCCTATTAAACATTTTGTTAGAAATGCTAAGATTTATAAAGTAGTTTGGCGCAACTTGAACTACTCCTAATTAGTTGAAAGTAAAAAAATCAATAAATTGACAAACAACTATGTTAATCTAAGAGTAATTTCAATTGAGTGAAATTAATTTTATTAATTGTTAGTATAATTTTTAAAATCTAATTTGACTAATTGTATAAGACTACATACCTACGCAATCTAAGAACAATATCATATCCAGGGAGATAGGATCCAGGATATAGTCTCCATGATCATATCCATGAAAAATAAACCCTTCCATATTTTTCTCAAATACGTACGAATGTTCTTCTTCTTCTTTTTTTGGCCTTCAGTTCAAATCAATTAACGGAAATAAGATATTTCAAGATATCTAACATGAGAATTAAAAATTCGTATTTGGCTTTTTTTTAATAAAATTGTCTTATGTGAAATACAACTGGTACCTTTAGAAATATTTTAATTCAATATGAGAAATTAATTTACCTATTACACAACAGGCAATACATTTGAGCAATATGTCGTTTATTACGTACTTATACAATTAAACAGTATTAGTGTTAATAAATTGATTTACTAGGTGGAGCAATTGGCAGCGCTGCTGGTTTCTTGATGGCTTCCGATTTCAGGTCTATTCCAAAAATAATTCGAGAAGACATGACAGACGCACAGAGAAAAAAATTATACAGACGTGTAAATGCACTTTTTAAAGGTATTGCTGTAAGAGATGCCGCATCTGCTATGAAAATGTTGGCTACCAATATAGATTTAAAAAGCAGTGTACTGTCAGTTCTAACAGACTATCTTAAAAGTGACTTGGGACTTGCCATGTAATTTAATATTGTTTTATCACTAATTTTATACATTTAACTTTTTAATATGTTATCTAATTATGATGTGAATTTTATTAAATAAAGGCTATTTTATATCATTTAGTACCTATTGTTTTTTTTTTGCTATAAACCTGTTTAACATTGAATTTAACTGAATAAAATAGCTTTATCTTTTCTAGACTTACATTATATTTGAATTTTCTGCAATTTCTGAACGCGGCTGAACGCATGCGGCATCTGTTGTCTGTTAGTGGAATTAACTGTTTCTTTTAAACATTTCCTTCTTTATCGGTGCATTTGACAACCAAAAATTGACAGTAGTGAGTGAAAGCATAATAATTAGTTGGTTTACCATTAATAGTCAGTAGTTATAAATAAATTATTGTACAACATTCCTTTAAACTTAAGTATACGCTAAGTAAAATGTGTTATTAAGCACAGACATTATCAGTGGAAGGTATGTGGATGCATGCAGCAAGCAATCTAGTGCGTAAAATAAATTGGAAATTTGTCAATGTCGAAATTGACCCTTGTGTCAAATGAATCATACAAGGTTAATAGTTTTAATGTCAAAGTATTTCAAAATAATGCAAACCGCTTTATTTAATGCTTTTGATTCTTTTACTACTATCTAATCAATATGGAAACGTAAATATTTACGCTGGCAATTTTTCTGTTTGAGACTGAGATCGTCATGTTTTTACCAGAATGTGATAAGATGATAAACTCATCCTGTTTCTTTATTATTTCGTGCATGTTTTATTACAGTTTGAACTATGTTTTGCCCGCATGTCGTGTGTAGTGTAGTGTAATTTTTTTGTTTGGTGCACTTTGTTTTGACTAAGTTATTCAAAATGCAATCCTGTGTTGGTGTTGACGCTTCCAGTATGGGATCAGTCTGGAAGAGGCTTCAAAGAGTGAACAAGAGAGCTGCTAAGTTTCAGTTTACAGTATCCTACCATCAGCTGTCCATAGATTTTACATCAAAATGGTAAGTTCTATATAATATACATCTCAATATACGTTCTAGATATATGCAATCGTTGCACAAAGAAGTATCACCTAAACTATTCATAAGTACTTCTTTATGTCGCATAATTATCACAAAAAAATGGAACCTGTTGTGTACAAAAAGGAGGTGGTTCTTTCATTTTATACTTAGGTACCTATAAACTTTGGTAAATATGGAGGTGCTAAAAATTCCACTACTTATTTGCTTTTTTATTTAACATTAGTAAAATATTATAATCATTTCCATAGGCAACACAGTACTTAAATAAATCATCCTAAAATTCTTGTTAAAGTATACTAAAAATTCTCACCAAAATCTTTATTATCTAAATCTCAAAAGTTATTTGATTAAGATTAGTTACTCTGACTCTATTATATAATTTATTAAAATATGTGTACCTACTGCTCAGTGTACATTTTAAGGTCTAGTACAAACTCCACTCATTATTTAAGTAATTCAATAACAAATAAGATATTTATAATAAAGTATAAATTGTTAAAATTTTAAATTTTATTTCGTATAGGTACATAAAATTGTCTCGTCTTTTATTGGCATTGGACATTGACTAAATGTCATTAGAGGTATTTAGAAGTTGCATCTTTAGGTGATGTAATAAGAATAAGGTAGAAGTAAGAAATTATGAATCGTCACAATTATTATACTGAGATGTGTATTTATTTAAATACATTTTTTGGCTAAACCAACTCGAGAATGTAAATACAAATATAAGTAAATATTTTATTTTATATTTAATCTGATATGATAAAGCAAGACAATAAATTATGGGATAATCCTATTTAAACTGTTTAACTTACAAAATAGTGAAATCCAAATTAATTGCAAAGCAGCTTCACCCATCACTAATCATAAAAATGTAATATGCACATTTATTCTCTCTTATTAACTTGTTATTATTAACTAAAAATATATCCCAAGTATTTCTCGAGATGTTTCTCATTATTTGCTACTCCTTCATGTTTTTTACATTGCTCTTTATTTCTCCTTATTCTCATCCTATATTAATCCATATTTAACGCTCTCTCGTCTACAGTAGTAAACCCCATTATATAGTAACTTAATGTAATACATTACTTAAAGAATTTAAATAATTATTTACCTCGTTATTTACAAACAATGGTAAGTTTTGACAAAAGCCTTTCATGCAAATCATACTTGCACCTGGATATCGAATTTGTTACTAAAATATAGAATTTTTGTCTTTGTCATACCAGGTAGATATATTGTACATAGAATAATTGTGTTTTCCCGAGGTTTTTCCTGTTCTAATAAGTATTTTATAAAGCGATGTTTATAATCAAATCAAAAAATAAATATAACTAAGTACTTCATTTATCTATTATTATCAACATAATATTGTAATAGAGGAACGATAACAAGTTATATACAAATGTAAGTAATGTATAAAAATAGAGATTTTCGTGAGATTATTAATTGCATAATAATTTTAGGTGATAGGCACCTAAATAAACACAGCTTTATTTTTGATTGGATTTTCAATCAAAAACCAAAATTTTCTGTGAGAACAAATGCAAAAATAATATAAGGAGGATAGTGTGTAGATATTATTATAGTAATAGAGCATACTTAATAAAGGCTATTTTAAAAGAACTGAACAAAAAGAAAACAGTGTATGTACTTTAATAGAAGGATTTAAGCAATTTTAAAGTTATTATAATAAAGCTAATTGATGCTGCACCTGTTGTGAATGAACCTAGACCTAGCTTGTTAATTTATTCTTCTAAGAAAGTGAATTGGAAGGATAGATGTTAGTAATAATACTTAATTTTGCATACATGAATATTTTCAAAGAAATTAATTTTCCTATATTAAAGTTAATTCATACGAACATAAATTTCTACTAAAAGTAAATGTACATTGAATCTGAAAATTCTTAGAGAATAAATAATTTTTAGGCCTTAAAAGATATACACAATATAATATTTCCTCTCACAGCTGCACAAAACTATACAGAAATAAAATAAAACCATGGCATTTAAATTCAAAATATGTATGACCTCACACGCTCAGATATTAAATCAAACAGGAAACAGAAACAAAATGCATGAAGTGTTCCGTGTATTAAAGGAAGTACAGAAGCTAACTGTGTAGGACAATGACTTTGTATATTATCAGAATTAATAATACAAGGATCTTTTTTATACTGAAATAATTAGCTACCAGCTGGACTGCTAACGGATTTTTTTTTTAAGTTACTGTTCTTACACGATTTTTACTTTCGCCATTACCTACTTAATTTTGGAATTATAATTTTATTCTATTGAGTACTTATCAAAGTAGGTAATAACACATAATCGAACGTGTATTTGTTTTTTTTTTATGATGAATAAACTAGAGATTATTCTACACTTAGGTATATTATTAAATATTTAGAAATTTCATTCTTAAAATGAATGTTAAAATTACTGCCAGTTATCACGTTCTTTATCAATTATTTTTTCTTCTTTAAAAGTAGATTTACCGGTTTGCCATTTGAGGTTTATTTAGTAAATTATATTGTTATTAGTGGACCCGACAGACGTTGTCCTGTTCAAACGTTAAATTAATTAAAAAAACATCTATCGGATCGAATTGTGAATCTAAAGCATTCTCGAATCCACTTGAACACACACAAAAAATTTCTTCAAAATCGGTCCAAGTATGTAAGTAGCTACCTTCAGTCTGCGTCAAGACGTTTTTGAAAAAGAAAACAGCCTAACTGCTTAACCAAGGTGATGCTTAAGTACATTGTGATATTAATAGAGGAGGTGATTCTGTAAATTATTTTAAGGAAAAAAGTTTCTATGAACTTATGTCCTAAAGTTTAATCTTCTTACTTTTTTTTTCTTAGAGTACTTAGTATTATTATTATTCCAAATTAAACTTTGGTGAAATCACTAATTAAATTTTATACACTAAAATAATCACTTTCATAAATAATTACTCAAGTAAGTATTACTTAAATAATAGAAAGAGACCGGGAAGAGGAGGGAAAAGACATGCGTAAGTACAAAAATATAAACAATTGTTTTAATATCCAAATATTACCAAATATTACAGAGGAGAATAAGTCTAAGCAATATTTCTATAAAACCAATTATTTATGTTGCTCGTACAACATGCACATACAATATCTTCTCCCTTTCTCCAGTCTTTTCCTATTATTTGAGTAATTAATTAAGGAAGGTGAGTATTTTAGTGTATAAATTTTGATTAGCGGTTTCCTCCTTGTAAGGAAATTAAACAAAATATGTCTAAAAAATACAACCTAAACAGCTACGCAGATTTCAAGAAAAATTACATTCATTTTCAAGGCAACCTCACAAACTCTTAGTGGTTTGGTCGCGACGATCCAGAAGAGTAACGTCCACACCAATGACATGGGAGCCTACCTTACAGAACCCATACAAAGGACTTGTCGTTTGGCCGGTACCTGAAAACCATCAGGTAGCTGTAACTCTTTTTAAGGACCCTCGGACCAATGAACTAGAAGATAAAGATTGGTCTTTCATAATCGAAGATGTGAGTATTTACTTATATTTGAATTTGGGTATGAAATTTTACGAACATTAAATTTTGAGGTTAACTAAGTATATTTCCTTCACTTGACTTGGTGCCTACATTAAGATTTATATGTGTACGTAGATAACATGATCAAACAATTTTTAAGAAATATGCATGAACCAGTTTTTATTCAATCTGTCCCTGAAAATTTAAAGTGACACATGCAAATATTTATAATCATTTTTATAATTATTTAAAACTTCAATGAGAGTAAGTCGGTTTATGCCCAACTATGGGTTAAATGGTGTTAATTAATTATAAAATAAAAATTATCTAAAAGTCTAATTAAGCCTCTAACTGAAATTCATAATGACCTACTTTAGCTGTGCCAATTAAAATTTTTTTGAGCTTATGTGCATAAAATATTTTCGAAAGGAAATAACAAATAATTGTAGGTATTTTATTGTCAACGGAATTTTTAATTTCATGTTTACTAATAATTTGAAGTTATCATATCTCAATCACATCACTGCAATGAAGATAGTGGTGATCTAACTATCTAAGTACGAGTCTCAGAATTCATATTTATTTTATTGTGTGTGGTTGTTTGTATCTAAAAGTAAACGCTTTATATTTGCTGGGTTGAAAAAAAAATTATTCTATTTTTATAACATTATATTTCATTCCTGACATTATTATATTCCAATATCTATGCTTGGCTATGTAATTACTTTTTATAAGTTACTTCCTATTGTCACATTTTCCAAAAATAAAATTTCTTATTTCCTAGTTAATTAAAATCTCAGGGCTCTTTAATTGTTCATTATATACCTAGTACCTGTGTTATGTAATTATTTACGATGAACATAAATTAAACAAATTAAATAGGCATTCTTAAATTTCTGAATATAAATGTTATTCAAGTATATTGTCTGTGATGATTGGATGCTACACTAAAAATTCTGAGCACCGTATGATTACAGATTATTCAGATGTATTATCCTTACTTATCTAGTTTAAGTCTGAGACATATATACTAATGGGTAACATTTTATATATAGGTATCCTTTACATTTGCATAACAAGGCTTCACCTACATACATTTTTTGTTTACCGATTGGTGAAGCAGCTAATTGTCATGCATTCGTCAGAACTATTATTTATTAAAAGCAAATTATTTGCAATTCCTATTAGATGTTATTGTTGAAGACGTATACTCATGTTTATTTTTATGTGTGACTTGGTTTAAATTTTTATTGCATAGGCACCTATATTTGAATGTTTCTTGGTAAATAAGTTAAGAATTTTGTGCAAGTAGACAAGTATTTAGGAAAAGAGTTCTTAATTTAGGTATTTAAAGAATACCTATTTAAATATGGCATATGTAGTGAATATTTAAGTAAGGTCTTAAGAATATTAACAAATTTAAAATAATTGAGTCACTGTTCTAAGGCATATTTACTGTGAAAATATCATGTTGCTTTACAATCATATACACCGAAAGCAGTCGGACTAAAAGTACTCAATACTCAATAAATAGAATTTTGTATTGTAAGAACAAAAAACATAACTATTTTCTATTATATTCTAAGTTAATGGAAAACTGAACAGTAGTATCTCCATTATGCATTCAGTTTTGTCCAGATTTTTATAAAATAATGTCTTTATGGTGAAAATTATTATATGTACCTATAGGTTTTACGATAAACAATCTTTTAAGAGTATTTTTTCTGATGCTTGATACTTATTGCGATTCGCCATAACTTAAAACATTTTGAATTAGTTCAACTAAAATCAGATTGTAATAAAATACATCTCTCATCTGTACTTAATCAAGAATATGTGGCAGCTATGATATATAGGTAATTAGGAAAACAAGTTATAAAAAGTAATAATAATACAGCAAATAAATACTTGATCTATAAATTCAATTATTTATTTGATATTTTTAGCAGTTAATAAATCTGCATGGACTCTGTAAGTTACTTTTCTGTAACCACGTAAATATTTTTATTATGGCGATTTCCCATTCTGAATTTTCACTAAAATAAATGATCATTTGAAAATTCTCTTTCCTGCAACCCTTGATAGGCTGTTTTTTTATGTCTGTCAATATTGCTACCTGTAATTGTTTATCACTGTTTTTGAATCCCTAGAAGGTGTTTCCGTCATGCAGTTGAGATATGAACAGTCCTATAGTTTTTAGCTTGAAGTGATTACTTAAAATTTCTGTCCGTCTCCTAATAACTTTTCACAATTATTTCGTGATATTTTTTATTATTCCTAAGGTCTCCTTTTTTTCTCTTTATCAGAATACTTGTGTACATTGTGAAATAAATTGAAATGGGAAAAGTAAATGTTACTATTTCTTATATAGTCAAAAGAAAAAAAAAATGTATGGAAACTTGTAAATACTTTTTGCATAAGCACACATTTTTCAATCTACTGCACACATATTAAATGTTCAATTTATCGTATGAAGAAGTTTAGTGACAAGAAACATTTTCTGCTTTATTTAATTTCCTGGTACATCGTTTTTACTTATACCTATTTGTAGTTTTTCAAATTTAGTTTCAGTAACATTAATAGATTTTTCATTATGGCCAAGTTTTCCTAATAAAATTTCATATGATGTTACTGAAAAGTTGTTAAAAAGAGCGATAGACTCATTACTACCGATTGAACTCATTTGATACACATGGAATTTTTCAGTCTAATTGATGATGTGGATATTTTTATATTTAGGTTCCTCCGACGGGAAAGAAAAGACAACTTGCCATTGCCCACGTCAACATGCGTAAATATGCTAGCGTCGAATCTACACAAACGGAACTTCAAATTAATTTTAAGCCAACTACGAAAAAAGTTACGGGTGCAAAATTGGACTGCACACTCTCGTGTGTCTTCCTTCGAGAAGGAAAAGCAACGTAAGTACTTATTATTTTACATAATGTACAGGGTGTAAGTAACACTCCGTGTCCCTTTTGTAAAATTTAATTTAAATATTTTACCTAAATGGATCATCTTTACAATGTTTTTCATTTAAAATATGCTATGTGATAATGAATGTTTTACTAAAGTGTAGGACTTGCAAAGTATTTCATTGTGTAAATCTTTCCAGTATATTTTTAACTAACTAATTAAAAGCTGTGACGCAGCAGTATAGCCATTACTATATTTAGTTTCATAATAATCATGGAAAAAGTATAACAAAATACAAATTCTATTAGATTACTAATGAGTCTACTAAATTTAAATTTCTTAATTCAGATATTGTTTTTACATGGGCATGCACAAATTTATTCCCTTTCGAATATTATGTTACAACTTTCAGAATATGCTTGATATAAATTTAAAATAATATTGATATAAGAAACTGTATTACATTTCAAAATTGCATTTTATTTAGACAGACTTTACTTACCTCTTCCAAAAACAATGTTAGTATCTATATTCCTGGAAATATTTTTCCTTCAGTCGTAAATAATCAAATTTTTGATAATTGTGGTTATATCACAATAATTTTAAATCCTGGCTTTCCTGTGGTTAATATCTATATATACACTTCGATATGTACATAAAGTAAACATCAAATGAATGTGGTAGCCGAGCTTCTATTTGAAGTATTGCCTAATATTTACTAAAATTTAATTTTTATCTCCATTCTTAAAACAAATATAAATACTTACCATAAAATAGGAAAATTATTTTTGATATTAAATATACTGGTATAATGTTAGGGAGTATTGATGAAGTTAAGAGTATTATTTTTTAATTCATTTTGAATTTAGTATGTTTTATTTTTATACAGGGTGATTGTAAATAAGTGCGAATAATTTTAGGGGGTGGTCGCCGAAGTTATTTTCTGAAAAAAAGTTCATATAAACATAGGTCGAAATATGCTTTGTTTCCAAGATACAGTGTTTAAATTTTAAATTTTTGTTTATTTTTATTAATTATTTCAGTTTTAAAGACATTGACTCGAAATTTGATGGTTGTATTTTATTTAAAAATATTAACAGCTACCTACTAGATCAATAGAAATTTAAAAGTACAACAAAAACGATGCATCCTATGAAAAAAATTGAAGTGACCAATTTCATTCAAAATTGATAGCGGATTTCTAACTAAATATCAAAACGGGAAAAAGTCAGTGGCGTACCATTTTTTTTATATTAAAAAAGTTTGTGGCGTTCTCACACGAATGCCACTGGTGCAAGTAGAAATATTCAGGTCAGCCCAAAAAATGCACGTTTATCCCTCCAAAGCGTTATTCAAATTTCGAGTCAACATCTTTAAAACTCTGAAATAATAAATAAAAATTAAAATTTAAACACTCTGTATCTCGGAAACGAAGCATATTTCGATCTACGTTTATATGAACTTTTTTCCACAAAATAACTTCGACAACCACCCCCTAAAATATTTAGAATTTAAACACCCTGTATAACACAGGAATCATTATTTTTATTTATTAGCATACAGTTTGCATGCAATTCTTCCACATTTTTTTCATAAAAGTGTGTGTGTGTGTTTGTATTCTAAATATAAAGTCACATGAATTCATAAACCCATGAACATTTTTCAACTCTAAACTCTGAATTCTTGAATGAAATGGACTGTATTAAACTCTTAAAATTATTGCTTAATATACAAAATATTTGTTAATGATTACCTCCTAGATATAGTGTCACTTTTAAAAGTTAGTTTTAATTTTTATCTTTTGAATTATCTATCGGAACAATTGAATATATCGTATTAAATAATTATATCATACACATTAAATTTTTGGTATAAGAATACAGGTATATGGTGAGGGTTGTTTTCGGTGTGCGGCAATGTAAAACTCTCTCTCAACAGTAAAAATAAAGTATTTTTATTGAAAACTAGTTAGTGAAAAAAATAAGTGTTGTCGGGGCGAGCGTCCGCTGGAGAGTCTTGGTGTGGTGTCGTTCGCAGGTATCTGGTACTTGGCGCCAATCAGCCGAGGACCTTTCTGGATCCTTGTTGCGTCCCACTTTGCACATTGTTTCTTGTCGCTCTTGACGTAGTACTTAAAATGGTTCACTTGCAGACATGTGTACCCACAATGGTATATGAATAGAATAAACGGTAAATAAGGAAGTAAAATCATTAAAAGAAATTTAAATATAGTCATTTTATGGGGAGAACTGAAATGGATCTGTTTTTGTTATTACTTGCACATTTTTTGTGACTTATATAAACTAAAAAATTTTATTGGGGATGTCTGGTATAACCATATTCTGAAATCAAGATTTCAGAATATGGTTATACCAGATACTCTTTTCCCGAAATCTAGCTTGTGACCGAAATCTCCTCACCCTGTACATGTTTCTACAAAACTTTATGCTCGACTTTATGCTCTTTACTTCAAAATTGTTTAAATTATCACGTACTTGTTGCAGAGATGAGGACATGCAGTCCATGGCTTCTCTGATGTCTGTAAATAATAATACAGATGATATTGCGCCACTGGAAGATGTGGAAGATGAAGAATACTCTTTTAATGATAGTGTAATGAAGAACAGTTTGCATGAAGTCACTCAGCACCTTCAGCAAATGACGAATAGTCTCTCTGGATCTGACTTCGCAAGTACACCTATTAGTGGTAAGTTTTTTTCTACAAAATGTTGTTTACGTAAATTTTTTGTTGGGCAAACTCATGTTATAGCTTGAAGAAGGTATTTTTTCCTTGATCTAAAAAATCTTTGTGGACTTCCCTATAATTTCAGAATTTTTGTGGATCACTCTGGGAAATCCTCATGTTCTGAGAATTCCCCTATTTTATTATCTACAAAACTGAATGAGAGTAACCAAGATAAGGAATATTTTTTCACCGAAGTATTTATTTTTTTTCTGTTTATCATTTTAACTTGCTTATACAGGATGATCCAGTTTGGGTGAATCAAATATTAACCACAGGTAGTTGCAAATAAATATTGTGATTTTTTCTTAATCATTGTTCTATCAGGTATCAATTTCCGTATACCGGACAATTATTGTTAATTTTCGAGATCATATTTTTAAATAAATTACACTTAAAGATCAGGATGCACAACTAAAACAGTATTGCAAGAGCAATATGAATTATATGGGAAAAAATTTCTTTATTACATTTTCTAAAATGTCAATAAGGGCAGTCATCACTGTATTGTCAGAAACTTTGATAAAGTTGAATAGTGCTATTCGTGGTTTGAGGAAAAATATAGTTCCCCAAAAGTTATTATTGTTTGATATTTTTAAGGCAATACAGTTAGAACATAGTTTTGCATTGTAGGCCAACCAATAGAGCGAAAAAAGAGGCTGTTTTTACACTTAAATATTGCAGCAAATTTCATGTATTTCCTTGTGAAAAATACTTAGTAAATGAACCACCAAAGTCGAGAACAATTTTTTTTTAAATTGCAAAAAAATTACATTTTTTGTTTTTTTTTATAATATCTCGAAAAATAATGATGGAATTACTGTCAATAGAACTTTTGTATAGAATAAAAAATCTGTAAAAGGGTTTTTTGTGTGATCCGATCGGTTCATTTTTGATAGACCTTTTTTCAAAAATTCATAACTCCGTGAAATTTGAAGCTGGAAAAATAAATCTTGCGGAAAATGACAAATAATAATATGTAGTTTAATTGTGCGCAAGATGGTTTCTGTCCGATGCATAGTTTTTGCACAATTGCATTATAAACAAATTAGGGTCTTTTTTTGCATATCTCGGATTTTCGTCCCCTGCTCGCTGCTCCCCCCACTACCGCTACTAGACTCTGGCTCGAGCGTACTTTCGATCGTTTTAGGCTACTTTCAAGGGCATTTTTAGCATATTTCCCATGACCTAGGTGAAAATCCGTGATATACAATTTGGAGATTTTGTCGTCTACTTTCAGATGCCGTTTTCAGAATTTAAATTGAACCATTTTTGATAAATCGCCACACTGTGCAAAAAAGACCCTAATTTGTTTATATATCTGTAAAAAATGAACCGATTGGGTCGCACAAAAAACCGTTTTATAGGTTTTTTTATTCTCTACAAAAGTTCTATTGAGAGTAAGACGATACCATCATTATTTTTGAGATACTATAAAAAAGTCAAAAAAATGCAACTTTTTTGCAGTTTTTATTGTTTAAAAAAATCGTTCACGATTTTGCTGGGGAAATCACTTGGGTTTTCATTTACTAAGCATTTTTCAAAAGGTAATATATGAAATTTACTGTAATATTTAAGGGTGCCAAAAAATCTCTATTGGTTGGTCTATTGGATGAGACCCATGAACGATCAGAAAATCCATAAGTCTGTAAATCTGCGTCTGAACATAGCATTAAAAGTTTATCGATTTTCTGTTGTGTGTTACAAAGTCTGCAGGCTTACTGTACAGGAACATAAAAATGAGCAATTAAAAATAAAATTTTCTGTGTCCAAGTATTGTTTAAAAAAAATTGACTGACTGAGTGTGTGTTTCATTTGGTAACAAACACACTATACAGTGTGTTTCACTTTTAATGGAACTGCCCTTATATCTCTCTCATTTCAAATTGAAAAATTTTCGTATTTTAACACGAAATAATTACCTGCAAAGCGATTATTTTGATATAACGACTCGATTTTCATCAAAGGCGCCAGGTTCTAAAATTAAAAAGGGGACGAATTTAAACAAAATATACATTAAGTTCTTTTTTTATTCAAAAGTTTCTTCTTTAGCATCCTCGGAATAAAATATATTTCAGTGCTCGAGATTTGCGTACCCAAATATTTACGATTTTTTTTATTATTGGTTAATTGTTAACTTAAAAATTACTGAAAATAGATAAGTTTTTCCCGTAACTTTTTGTTTTAGTAATTTTTTTTAATGTGTTCCTAAGGTTTTCACATTTATTGAAGATATTCACAACAAAAAATCATTTCAATTAACTAACTTTATTTTCTCTATGCATTTTCAACCTTTTGCTTTGTAACATCGTCACATATTTGCCTAATTTTATTTTCTAAACCATATTAATATGAAGCTTATCCTTCTAAATTTTTGTTTTGTATGTATGTATGTTTTTGTATGTTTTGTTTTGAGCATGATTAACATGCTCCAGTAATGGAGATTTATTATTTAGTTGATATTGGAATTATGTTTCTTCATTAGACGCCTATCACTCGATGAATATTGTCAGTAAATCTGAAAATAATAGAATTTGACTGCTTAAGAAGGCTGTATAGCAAATCGGTAACCAGCAATACATTTTTATAGATTTTATTACACTTTTTGTCTAAACATGAATCAATACACAAATAACAGACTTTCCTCCACTCCAACACAGTTTTTTTATAAAATGGACTTGGTTTGAAACTCAGATCACTTTTTGTTGTAAAGAAAATTGTAATTTGCATCCTAAATTACAAATTTCTTTACACAAAAAAGTTATTTGAGTTTCAAACTAAGTCCATTTTATAGAAAATCTGTGTTAAAATGGAGGAAAGCCTGTTATTAATTCATATTTAGACGAACTAAAAAAAACTGAAAAAACTAAATGTTTGGGCACTTATCTTCAACACTTTTAAAGATATCTTTTGCAAAATAGGTACAGAGGTGTTTGTAGGGATGCGAAATTAGAATATAGGGTGTAACATTAAGTGAGGATCAGTTTTTTGGTAGTTGCTGTTCCCTTGAATACGAATCTGAAATTCTTGTTTTTAATCAATGCTGTAAGGTCACGTATTGCAAATACATGAATTGTTAGCAATCTACAGTGCATGTGAAGGGAGATAGTGCAGGTCGACGAGGACGAAGCGAGGTACAGAGATGTGAAGTTGAAGTTATATTTAAAGAGAAAACAATTTGTTATTAAATTCCTAACGAACTTCGTGTCTTGAGGTCCATATAGTTAACCAGGCAGTTGGCAGGTTACACATTTAAGAGATTTAGGTTTTTACGACCGAATTTGACAAAATAAACTATTGATACCTGTTTTTAAAGTAACTAACTTTTAGATAAAATAATCATTAACATGTATTTTTTAAAGAAGGCGACATCTTACTATTGATTTTAGAACCAAAATTAAAATCAAATCGGTGGTATTAGAGAATAATTGTTTTGCAAGTTATTATTTTGTATTGAAGTACCAAATAAACGAAATATGGCTCCTTGAAATATGAAATGCGGTGTATATTAGTCGCACTTTGTTTTGCAGTGGCTAGCATACAGTCAGACGAAAAGACCCCGACCGCGGAAACGTTCTCGCCACCCGCTGAGAAATCTAAACTAGTCAAGCCCGTATCAGTGCCACCTCCAAAAGAAAGCGATTTCGCAACCGACGATAACGATATTTATTCTGAACAGTGCACAGAGCTACTGGACAGATTAGAGAATTTAGAGGAAGAATGTGAAGCCGAATTCCCCACTGTAAATGTAATTAACCAACTGCCGGTTAATAAGCCAACGGAAACGATCGTTCAGAAGAGCGTAAACTTGAAATTAGAGCCGCTAGAGTTAAAAGAACACATTGAAATGCCCAAGGCGCCGCAAAAGCTAACGACACCTGGTAAGACACTGTATTTATTTCGTGAGCCTTATTTTTTAATGTACGACGTATCTGTAGGACAGGATTTGTTGGAGTGGTGTAAAGAAATGACCAAATCTTACCAAGGAGTGAAGGTAACTAATTTAACTACTAGCTGGAGGAATGGTATGGCTTTTTGTGCGCTTATCCATCATTTTGAGCCTGATTTGATGTAAGTAATTTACATAATTTTTCCTATTTTAATTTTTTGAGATTCAAACACTTTAATTAGAAATTAAAAAAACTTCAGGAAATCGTAGCATTGTGAAATAACTTCTGCAATAATTTTTAACTTCGGATATTACAGTTTTTTCAAATTAAACATTTTATTTTTGTTGGTACTTGCTTTATAGGGGGGGGGACCAAAAATAACCGGACGAAATTCATTGTGTGTCTCTCTTCTAGTTCAGGCTTTTCTCGCTAGGTGGGTGTCACGTAACCCCTTCTGAGTCTGCCAAGTGGCGTCACTTGATACTGTTGCAGCGAACTTCTGAAACAGTTTTCGTGCGCCAACTATTTCGATCTTAAAATGGTTGATATTTGGGAACAGCGTGCAACATTGAAATTTAATTTTCTGTTTGATAAAAGTGCATCGGACTTGTATGTCCAAAACTGACGAAAATGTGGAAAAAAATCACACGACTCAGTTGATATGTTTATGGCTTATAAAGAACATGGTTTGAAAAAAACTCAAGTGTATGAGTGGTCTTCTAGGCAATTTGTCAACAACTGAAATTTATGACCCAGTCGCCCAGTGCGGCTGTGTTTGTGCGCCGTTTGTCCGCGCGCGCGTTCTTCAACTGGGCGTATATGTAAGAAAGTTTAATTTATGGCTACTACTACATATTGGTTATTGGGTAAATAATGCGTAATAGGTAATTAATGAATGACGGATAATTAACGGATTAATGGTAATTATCATGTATCGGTTACTTGAAGTTACAACCCCAGTACAAAATTTTTATCAAGTACTCGAATACAAATAGTAGGAATACAGACATCCCTAGATTTTACTTTTGTACAGGCAAAGTTCCATGCATCACTCTCAGCGACAACTTTAAAGTTATTTTTTCAGTAATTCAACTTTGGAATATTTTTTTCGGACGGAATTAGAGAATATTAGTTTAAACAAGAAATATTCTACGAGTAAATATATTTGTATGTTCACTGTTCAAAATGATTTGTTTTTTTATTCACTGGAAAAGCCTTATTTTAAATAACAACAAATTTTATTTTGCTTTAAATTATATCGTTGTCGTCATCTGTTTATATTGTAATTATATTAAAATATATTATACAGGGTGTCTCGAACTTATTGCAACAAAATTTGGTCACATATTCTTAAGACAAATTTAGGGGACCCGTATTTTTAATTTTTGCCAAGTAGCCCCCTCTTTTGGAACTACAGCCCCCTGAAATCCGCCCTTAAGAATAACCTTTTTTTTATATCTCAGAACGCTGTTGTACGAGAATCACTAAATTTGGTACACAGGGGTTTTACGACATGTGGAATCTGATGGTGCTACCCTTTTTGACGAGGAATCCCCTTAAGACAATTTTTCGTGGGTCCACTTGTCTTTGGAGTAAAAAAAAGTTGGTCGCATATTTAAATTTCTTAAAAAATATTAGTCCCCTAGAAAGCCATTAAATTTAGAAATTTTTTTATCTCTTGATACCTTTTTCGTAAAACGCAATGTTTTCGAGAAAAATCAATGTGATCGAATACATGTCGTGATTCGCCATTTTCCTCAAAAACGTTGCGTTTTATGAAAAAAATATCAAGGGACAAAAAAGTTTCTAAATTCAATGGCTTTCTAGCTAACTAACAATTTTTAAGAAATTCAAATTTGCGACCAAATTTTTTTGGGTCCAACGGCAAGGGGGCCCACGAAAAAGTGTCTTAATTGGGTTCCCCGTCAAAAAGCGTAGCACAATCAGATTCCACATATCATAAAACCTCTGTGTACCAAATTTAGTTATTCTTGTACAACAGGGTTCTGAGATATAAAAAAGACTATTCTTAGGGGCAGATTTCAGGGGGCTGTAACTTCAAAAGAGGGGGCCACTTGGCAAAAAGAAAAAATACTGGTCCCCTTTCGTCTTAAGAATCTATGACCAAATTTTGTTACATTAATTTCGGGACACCCTGTATACTGTTTTAAAAATAGTGCAACTGTATTAAATAAAAATAATTTTTTTAGTGAATTTGATTCTTTATCTCCTCACGACGTAAAAGGTAACTGTAAAAAGGCTTTCGATGCCGGTGACAAACTGGGAATTCCAAGAGTTATCGAGCCAACAGATATGCACATGTTAGCAGGTAATGATTAAATTTTTTAATTAAAATTGCTCATTTTTAAATTATTTGAAACTATTGCAATTATTTTTTTAGTTCCGGACAAACTGGCAGTTATGACGTACCTCCACCAACTTAGGGCGCATTTTACCGGCCACCAGCTGGAAGTCCAACAGATAGGCAAAACTTCCGAGGAGAGTAATTACATCATCGGGAAATTCAATACCGACAAAGACACCGACATTACCAAACAAGTTTTCGGCCAGGAAATCATTAATTTACGGAAAGCCAAACAGAGCAGGAAGCAGGAAAGCATCAAAGAGAAGGAGATGAACAGTGTGAATAAAGAAACCGATCACAAAGGAGACGCCTCGAAGTTACGCCTGCAGCTGAAAAATACAAACGAGCCCGAGCCTGTCAAAGAGAAGTCCCCGACGATGGTGAAGGACGTCAAGGATATTATACTCAGCAGTTCGAAGACTATCATGAGTAAAGTAAGTAATATTTGAGATAACGTATCCGACGAGTGCATTGAATGTATTTTACAGGTTATATCGTCTCCCGGGAGGGACAAGCAGCAGCAACAGCAGAAGAAGCAGGAAGAGAAGAAGGCGGAAGTTAAGAAACCGATACTCATGACCAGGCGCGAGTTGACGGATCCTTTCGGATCTGACGATGAGGACGAACCTCCGCCGTTCGATAATAGAGTAATGAATAATAAGGTGCCCGAGACGAACGGGGACGTGCACCGTGCCGTCGATTCTTCCGATAATGTGGAGAAGAAGGAAGACGATGTGTTCTCCGACTTGCCTAAACCAAATCTTGTAAGTTGCAGCTTAATATCTGTTTTTATGTTTTAGTGAATTTGTTGTGTTTATTCTGAACGCCTTTTTGCTCAACGCTTCTATAATTTTGGAAAATAGGTGTATGGGGTGGGCCAATCTCGACATTTGAAAAAGTTAAGACGTCTCTAGTTTGAATTACGAGAAAAAAGTGAATGATGAAAACCACATTTAGATGTTTTGTTTCTTTTAAAAGATACCGGATATCTTTAATTTTTGTCTGTTTTTGCGACATTAAATGGTTGCCTTTTAGATTTTGGGAATAGACAATCCTGGTGCTGCCATCTGACAACCGACGTTCCTATGGTAAAGTTCGCCTTTTGTCGGTATACTTGCTCTGAATGTTTCGACGTACAGGCGCTATTTGTGTTGTTTACATTGACTTGAAAAATTCATCTCGGCTATAAAAATGGAATTAAGTCGTGAACACTTCCATGCGATTATTTTTTGCAACTTTCGACGTGGATTATCTCAACAATAACGCATCGATGAACTCAGTTCGACTTTTGGCGATGAAGCGGCATCAAAAACCAATGTATATCGGTGGTATACGCAATTCAATCGTAGCCGTGGTTCACTCACTGACGAATTTTGTGAATTTCATCCAAAATCGGTTGTTGTTCCAGAAAACATTAATGCTGTGCAAGAGCATTGTGTGGCTTATTGTGAGATTGTGGCATCCTAGGGCATTCAATATTGCAAGAACATTTGGCCGTCCAAAAAATTTGAATTTGTTCGCGTTGGATCCGACGTCATTTGATAAACGCTCAAAAAAAGGCTTGTGTTGATTGGTCGAAAGAAATGATCAATAAATACGATCGTGATGCTTCGTAATACATCTATGACATCGTAGCAGGTGACAAATCATAGATCTATGCCCGAAAGTAAACAGCAGTCGAGTGTATGGATTTTTCAAGATGAGCCAAATCCAACAAAACTTGTTTACATTTTTCTAAATGGAAAAACCGGACATGTGGTCACTGTACCATTAATGCAACGTCAGTCACATCTGAATGGTACACAACCATTTATTTGCCAGAAGCCTTCGGAAAGATAAGGGAAACCAACCGCCGAAGTCGCGTCATTCTCTATCAAGAAGATGCGGGTTCCCTCGCATCAGCTCAAACAACAGATTTTTAGAGAATTGAAAAAGTCGACTTGATGAGTCATCCGCCGTACAGCCCTTATTTGACACCTAATGACTTTTTTATTCCCGTGCATCAAAATATAAATTACAAGGTCAATTTTTTTCGACGCGTGAAAAAGCTGTTGATATGTTCAAATTGCATGTTTTTGGAGGTATCTCAATTGGAATGGAAAGTGCTTTAAAAATTGGTTCAGTCACATGTATATTGATCTTCATAGAGAATTTTTAGATAAACAATAAATTTTTTTTGTTCCTTATTCCTGAAATATAAAAGGCAACCCTGGTAAACTCATTTTTCAGCCCAAAACTTCTAAAATATCACACATATTTTAGGGGTGGAAAAATACTGTCTTGAATATTCATGAAAAGTGTCTTAAAAATTTCTGAACAAAAAATCAATATTTCAACGCCTTCTTCGCTCTTGTATTTTCGATAAATGGTGTGGTCTTGGCATTTGCAGTAATGTGGAAAGTTTGATAAACCTTTAAAATGTTAGTTAAGTAGATATACAGGTTGTAGAAAGCCTAATCTCAAATAAATATGAAATTTCTACACTAATGATCTCTTCATATTTCCCATGAATTTTCTATTAAACATGATTTATGTAGAAATTTAGTTTTTGTTTTTAGGGTTGAGCCTCTGTTGCCTCTATTAAAATGCAAAATATCTACATCAATTATATTTTTGACATTGCCATTAATACATTTTATTAAAAATTACATTTCTATTAGAATAAATAAATATACATTTCAGATAATATTCAAACGATTTTTTGTGTAAAATCGTGTATTATACATCATTTGAAAGAAAATTTTTTGCAGATTTAAAAAATGTATGTAAGGAATTCAAAGAATATAATTTTAGATTATAATTTAAAACCCAAAAATTTTAGAAAAATATTATAGCACTAAATTCTATGCCAAACAATAAGTATATAACCTCTTTAGAAAAACAAAAAAATTTTTGCCAAAGAAAAGAAATTTATTCAAACTCACAAGAAAACTACCAAAAAAGAGAAATGCTGTGTTTAAATATTCGAGACGACCAGTTTCTATCATTTATTTTTCTTTTCTTTTTTTTGAAAATAAAACCAGGGACGTTTTAACTACTTTTTTTGCATCCTGGGGAAATATAAGAAAACCCTGTCAAAATTGGGTCACCCTGTACAATGTATTTCTCTACGCTTTGCACCTCACCCACAGCTGTTGCTTTTGATTATGATAAAAAAAATTATTAGCTGTCAAACTTGTTTATGTCTATTAGTTTGGTGAATACATCTGACAACACTAAAGGAAGTTACTCTACTTGAAAGTTAACACTTCATATTACACTGCAATATCCTAAAAATCACTATATTTAGTACTACATTTGATATTTTCTCTTAGAGACGTAACAAATCATTTTATAATTTTTTTAAGGATCAAATTGGAGCAAAATGAAAAAAGCATGTCCAGTTTTTATCTTACTTTCATTTTGCAATTTATTTAAAATACGGGATACTTTCATTTATTAAAAAAAAAATTGAAGATATGATTTTTTACCACTTCTATTATTTCTGGGCTACCTGTACTATAAAACATTCTCCTCTCGATTCTGCTACTCGCAGAAAATATCTTTAAATACTTCTGGCTTCGTAGATGTATTAAAATAAAAATCTTGTTGCTGTTACTAACCAATAGGGCAGATTTTCCAAGGGAAATTTTTGTGTCATACTCGATATAACTGCTACTAACAATTTGAAGGTTTGGCATGCTATTAAAATGTTTTTGACGCGTGTGCAGCAAATACTCATGCGACACTCCGAGCAAAGAGAGAGGGCGCGAATGCTACTAGAGCAGACAAGAAAAGAGAATTCCAATCCCGCCTCACCCACAAAGGTACGTATTGCTATTTTTGACTGATTTACAGAAAGTTAATAAGTCCTGGTGTGTGTGCCCCTTGTTCTGATTCCGTCAAGATTCCAAATTGGAGGTTATATACAACGCGTTGAATATTCCACCGACGAAATTCTACAAATGATTCTAGGACCGAAAATAAGAAACAAAGTCATACGATTGTGCCTGCAAATGCTTTGTTTTAATAATACACATTACAGATTGAAAAGCTTTTGCTATTTTTTCCCTTATTCTCAATTATTTTACATGTTTGAGTGCTATTACAAATGATCTAAGGGCGATACTTTTTGTAGAAATACCAGTCTAACCATCTCGACCAGTAACTTGGTCTACCACAATGTTACGTTAAAATTGGATTCAAGGTAGATCATTGGAGGGATGGTCAAGAGAAATCTGTTCTGCGACAGGCCAGATTTCTCATAGAGAGCCCATAGGTGGAAACAAATTGAAAAATTTGTTTGCCGAGTAGAAGCAGCATTAGGAATGTCACAGAACTTCTAACGGGTCATGGACATTTAAACAAATACCTCAATAGAATTGATCAATGTCAGTGCAAGACATGAAGATGAGGATTTCATACATATCAGCTGTCATTGGAAAAGATACAAGTACCTGAGGGCAGCATTCCTGTTAGTTCTGGATATTAGATGGTTTCTAGCAGAGCTAGTGCTTGTCTTCACATAAAACGTTGGCCTGTTTTAAAATCACTTATTGGCGGCATGCACAATAGGTTGTGAGACCTGAGTACACAGTCTTGTCACATCAATAACCATCTGAATATTTTTGTTTGATACGTTTTATAAGTGTTCATCAAACTGTAACTCGTTCATCATCTTAATCAGATTTAAAAGGTTCTTCAATAAGTTTACCATTTTTAAAATACTCTTAGTTTGTTCCCAGAAATTCCAAAGTGCTTCACATTTCAATGTATTGGAGGCTGTTTCATCTTCCACATTTTAGCATTTTTGTAGCAACCTACTTGTTTTGACTTCTATTTAACGTCAGACATATTTTATTTTCAATAGCTTATTTACCGCTAATTTGTTGCCTTTGCATGGGTATGTGGCTTCAATGCGACTTGTATATTCATCAAGTTGTGAGGCTACGTTTCGATGTTTTTCAGTATCCTACGGACAGGTTTAGTACTTGTTAAAAGTACCCGCAGATCTCTTTCAAGTTATCTGCTTCTTCATTGACCAGTATTTCTTTATGTCCTGACGTCTATCTATTGAAGTATATCACCTCATTGTGAATAGCTACAGTAGATAGGTCTTGGTGGCAGTTCTAGACCAATTTGGAGGCAAGCTTTTGTCTTTGTTACCATTTGGCTGCCGAAGTAGATAAGGGCCTAATTGCCTTTATACCCCCTCCTAATATTTTCCTATAAAATTCAATGAAGTTTAGAGCTGGCACCAACTCTTCCTGCTGCAGTTTTGGATCTGTATGTGTACCAAACTAGTGTTCTAGGTCACTCTTTGGAATTTAGATAGCTCCAGTTCTGACAATCTTTGATTTGTCTCTAGCCACCATATCAGTGAGTCTTCTAACTCTCCGTCTTTTTTGTAAAAAGCGTTGCTGTGGTTTTTTCGGGTTTACCAAGATTTTCCTTTTGCACCACTACAATTTTTTGAGCCTGTTCATGTTATGTATTATACAGGGTCTGAAAGTCCCCATGGTTCATCGGCCGTTACGTGAGAGCGATAAAGTTATAGAAATCCGTGCGATAGAGAAGGATTGCTATAATGAAGGCGTCTCATAGTCACCGCCCGTTTTGCCCTTCCACAAATAAGATCCACTTCCACTTGTAATTCAGCGACCGGTTGTCATCTTGTTTTCGTCGTTTGGCTTTTCTTTAATAGATGTCACTACTTATACAATTTCGACTTCGGTATTCCGATATGTTAATACAATCCGTTAACAGAGGGCAGCACAACACGTAACAAAAAAAACTTTTTACTGTAGCTAGTAGATACCTCTGTTCGTAAATCTAGTGACCTTGTTTCTCCTACTAAGAAGTTATTCTAATGGAGTATAGTGCTCAGTTGCATTTAAAGTTCATTTAGTTGTCATTTAAGTATACTTTGCCCTCTGTTAACGGATTGTATTAACATATCGGAAAACTGGAGTCGGAATTGTATAAGTAGTGACATCTATTAAAGAAAAGCCAAAGGACGAAAACAAAGATGACCACCGGTCGCTGAATTACAAGTGGAAGTGGATCTTATTTGTGGAAGGGCGAAACGGGCGGTGACTATGAGACGCCTTCATTATAGCCATCCTTCTCTTTCGCACGGATTTCTATGACTTACTTTATCGCTCTCACGTAATGGCCGATATACCATGGGGACTTTCCCACCCTGTATACAGTATATCCTTGGGTAGGTTTGAGGTAAATGTAACTAAAAGTATGGTCTTATTTTTTATGTGATCTGTTTTATGGAGAACTGTAATAATATAGCTTCAAGGGCATTGGCTGAATCAGGTAGTGAATAAGTGATTCAGTTCTACGAGGAAGTGTGTTATTAATATAAAACAAAATAAATAAATGAAGGGAAATTTTATTACCCTGTCTTTCAAAAATAAAATTGCAGGCCTACGTTCATATGAACTTTTTTCCCATTTTTGGTCAGAAAATCAACTGTACAATATTGTGGTGGAATATAGTAATGCCCTGTATAAGTACGGATAATTTTTCAGAATATATAGTAACGTTTATTTTAAAAATTGTACACAATATGGAATGTGGGAACTATTATTTTTATAAATAAAAAAAATTAGTAACTTATCCCCTCTGTACCTAAACAATAGATAGAAATAGCAATACTAATGTCTTTATGTTTTGAAGGAGTAGGTATTCTAAATATGTATATTTACTTACAAGTACAAATTGTTTCTTCAAAATTTGCATTCATATTCACATTTGTACATTTCATTGCAGCTTTTTAGTGAATGCAAATATGTAAAAAAATAAAGAGGACTCATAAGAATCCTTATTTTTGCCACAAATACAATGCATTTTATGTGTTGTGTCCGTGGATTGAGTGAGAGGGAAAATTTTTCTGTAATTTTTTAGAGAAAATTATTTAAAAAATTCTTATGCTTAAATATAAGATAAATGCTCTTCATACAATAGCGATGCTATGGCAGCATTTTGTTGACACTCCTCGTCAATAATCAATGAATTCACTGCTGTAAATAAGAATTTTAAACACGGAGTATTTAATGCAAAAAGAACGTCCTCTACAATATTTGCATTCTCGTTCATGTTCATGTTCACAAATATTCAGAATCTCACATCCAGAATAACCTTGTTATCTGGTTTCGTATTTATTAACGCGAGTAATTTTAATGACTACAGTCCGAAGAGGAAAGGCAAGCACAGCTTCGTGAAAGAGCGAGGAGGTTACTTGCTGAAGCCAGGAGGGGATCGGGCGGTCCTACTACGGAAATAATTCGGGTTAGTCCAGAATCAGTGAAAGCTTACGTGGAGGCTGAAGATAAGCTTCACATGTTGGATAACGAAATCCACTATCTGGAGAGGCAAAACAGCTCAGGTACTGCCATCCTCACACAATTTGCCACTGAAAATTAAAACGTATATTTATTTAGGTTCGGAGAAAAATGGAAGTATATACTCATCAAAAACTGTAAATAATACGGAGGATCCTATTGAAAAATCTAGTCCTAATGATAGTAGTAGAGATAAAATCACACCTGATAAGTTACCTGATGAATTAGGCTTAAAAGAGGTATGTGTCGACATTTTAATGTTAAATTTACAATATTTTATCGAACATATTTTTCTCAGATGGGTATTGATGTGCACACATGGATAGACAAAGAAAACGACGACCTGGAAAGAGAACAAAGTGCCATTGACGAGCAGGCTGCGATCCTCGAGAAACAATTACGAGCTGTAATGGAGTCCCGGGACAGTAACGGGGAAGAGGAAGAGGCCCTTATGGCGAAGTGGTTCATGTTCGTCAACAAGAAGAATGCTTTGCTCAGGCGGCAGATGCAACTTAATATTCTGTGAGTAATGAAATTTTAAGGAATTTTTATAACGAGATTTTTTCAGTTATTGGTTCACGTTTATAACATTTTTCCCATTTACTGGGAAAAAATTTAGTTAGTTTAATTTTCCACAGTAATCTTTGACATTTTTAATTATAACAGATAATTAGTTGACAAATGACAAATATCCTGCATTTTCTTGCATGTGACAACTAAAGTCGAAAGTTGAAACCATTTATCACAAATTCTACTAAAAATTGCAGCATGCTACATAAATATCAAAATTTTAATAGAGATTCTAGGAAAGTCATATGGATCATTTCACATTAGATTTTAATTGGAAATCATATGAGGAAAATTTGGAGGTTGATCGAAATGGAGAAGTCATGTGCCATCAATCGGAATAAGTGATATCAGAACGGGCAATATCTGATTAATATAGCAGGCTTCCAAGTAGGTTTTCAGCGGTATTGCAACATGTGGCTGAGTGTTGTCATGCTGCAAAATCACCTTGTTGTGCCTCTTCCTCATATAGCAGTCGTTTTTCCTTAAATGTTCAGCTCATACGCATCAATTGTAATTGTCCCGTGATGGTTTCATTCAGTTTAAGTAGCTCATAATAAACTACACCCAGCTGATCCCACCAAACGCAGAGCAGCAGCTTGAAACCATGGATATTTGGCTTTGCCGATGATATTGACCCATGGCTACGCTTGCTGTTCTGTATCTCCCGGCTTCAACTCGTACGTACGGCACAAAATGTTCTTGCTTTTGAATCATTTTTAATGCTGAGATTGCTTTCAGTGTGCAGCAAAATAAAACTCTCTCAACTGCAAAATAAAAGTATTTTTATTGAAAACCAAGTTTAGCGAGAAGGAATGTTGTTGGGGCGAGCGTTCTCTTAAGAGTCTTGGTATGGAGTCGCTCGCATGTATATGTGTCTGGTCATGGCGCCAATCTGCCGTGGACCTTTCCTGGAACCCTGGTGCGTCCCGCGTCTAACTCCTAATGATTCTGCGAGTTCAGCTAACATTTGACACGAGCCTTCATGAAGTTATTCTTCCAATTCTTCATTTGCAATCTGCTTCTTTGCGTCAGCTTTCTTTATCTTCAACATCATAATCATTATTTTTTAAGCGTCTAAACCAATCTCTGTATGTTGTTTGCGACAGAGCATGGTCGCATAAGTCTGCACAAGAATTCTGTGTAGGTACTTCAGCTGCAGATTTATTTTGTAAAGTTCCGGCAAATAATCTTTTTTAGGCACGAAATTAGACATGTTTAAAACTATGAGAAAAAAAAATAGTTTACACTTCGGCGAAATAACATATATTGAATTTCAAGCTTGACCTGTTGGAAAACAGAAAACTTGAACAACATCTCTATATATTTTAGGATTTCAATTAATTTGAGATTTATTTAATGCTATGATTGAAATCCTACAAAATGTCTGGGATCCTGGAACTTTGGGTTCCTGTAATCTTGAGATTGGTTTCCCTTCAACAAAAACATGAGACAATCTTTTTGCGCATAACTTCCTTATGGATGAATGAATTTAGCTGAACTTACAGTCATCGATAGGTAAAAGTTAACCAAGTCTGATGTGGTAGAAACGAACCTTGTGACTATAAAACTGTAAGCATGCTCTATAAAAATTACCCTTAAAATCAGTTCTCCAATCAACTTTGAGATTTAGTCTCAGTAATCAGAAATCATAGAGAAGGGAATGAAATCTCAAGAAAACAAATCTAATATGATTGAGAATCAAAATAGTAGGGATGTAGCACAAAATTGGTCAAATTTTGGACTTGAACAGAGCGGCTGTAATTGCAACTGAATAAGAATTAAATTTTTGTAGACCCCCTAAACGTTAAAGAGCATACTTTTATTAAGAATTTTATCCTACACAGTATATTTGTTGGTTGAATCACACATAATACATGTCCTCAAGTATCGAGACATATGTAACTTTGTAACATTGGTTAGGCACAACCCATTCAGAATTTTTTCTTTAATTTTTAGTTTACGTCGTAGCAGAATATGTAGAAAAATAGTATCATTTAAGAAATACCACAAATAAATACTTTCAGTTAAAAAATTTCATCTGCTGTTTTGGGTCACAAGAATATTATTTATATGAAAGGGGTGGACTACAAGTTTCAAAGGTTCATTCACAACTTGAACAATTTTGTAAATGACAATTACTTATTATTTTTATTTGATTGATGAAGTATTTTTTTTTTGTTGTTAACTCGATCTATTTCAGAGAAAAAGAAGCCGATCTTGAAACAAGATACAGATTATTAAACGAAGAACTTCACAAAATAGCCTCTATCGAAGATTGGAGAAAAACCGAAGATCAGCGAAACAGGGAGCAAATCCTTTTAGATGAACTAGTACAGATTGTCAACAAAAGAGATGAGCTGGTACACCATCTGGACAATCAAGAGAAAGCGTAAGTGAAATTTTATGATACTGTTGTACTAGGGTCCCAAAATTGTAGGCACTGGTTCATTCTCAACATGTAGATCTGTGTGAAGAGTAAGGTGGTGCTTAAAACTGGATTATCTTTACTTGACCTTTTGCTCATGCCTTCGGTACACTGACGGCGCTACTTGTGTCCTGATTACTGCTCCAGTACCTTCCATGCTGATCATAGGATGATTTTTTTTAAACATCCAGTATTAAAAAGTCTATGATTGCAGTTTGAATTTTCTTTAGTGTTGAAAGTTCATTTTTAGAATGAAATCCATGAATCTTCCTATGAATCGATATTTAACATCGATTTCAATTTTTTTCCTGCCAAATGTTTTGATTGTTTGTCCACTTTTGATCGACACTCTTGTTAAGGAACTGCACATTTCGACAGCATCACTCACCACCTACATATCTGAGTTTCAAACTTGAATTCCCTGATAAATATCGTTTGTCATACAACGTTCTATTATCAATCTATTAATTTATTAAATTTGCTCGTTTAGGAGTACTCTAATTATGAACAGTTTGGCCATTAATGTCTGCACACAATTCCATTTTTAAACACACAATAAATAAAACTTGCACGCATATGACAAGAAAGGAAATGTCAAAACTGGGAACTGGAAACATTAAGAAATTAAATGCAGTGCTGTTCATTTTTCTTCTTGATGTCAAACAGAGATAGAAATGGGTGCCTTTAACAACAGAATATTCCAAGTGTGCTCGCGCAGGTACGCTATGCGAAATGAATTGCACATTACAATTTTCTTACAGAGAATACACAAAATTGTGAGTTGAGGCTATGAGACTGCCTACAATTTTGCAACTCTGGTATGATTTTTTATTATTTTTAAAAAGTTGTTTTAGCTGTAACTTTTTAAATCCAAATATTTTAGGATCGAAGACGATGAAATCATAGAAAAAGATCTCTCGCACATAGAGTTGCCAGCGAAGGATAGCAACTGCGTTATATCTTAACTATTACTTATAGAACTTCTACTACGATTTGAGGTTGAAACTTGCATGGTTTTTGAAAACTACTCTTCTCGAAATATAATAATTGGTGCTTGATGTGATATAGATTTTTTTGTTTAGATACGAAGCAATAGGGTTTGCTTTATATATTTAACTTTTTTCGTAGGTATACCATTTCTCAAATCTTGCAAATTTTAACTTGCAAAACGTGCAACTTAAGCCACTTTTAATTTATTTGACTAATACTAATCCTTTCCCCTCCTCCCAACCCTCGTTTTAATTTATAAAGACATAGCTTTAATTTAACACAAGAAACCAATTTGTTAATTTATGTATAGAACTTACATAATCAAATTAATGATGTGATGTAATTTATTAAACATGCCGATTTTTTTTATGTGTATATAAACCGAATTAAAAAAAGGAATATGGCTGTAAATTAGGCCATCCACTTTAGTAGTGCAATATCCTTCAGTGTGTTGTGAACTTTATGGGCCCTGAAAGGGTTCTACGTTTCAAAATCATATTTTCACATCTCCACCGAATGTCCCGTACTTATACAAATTTGGAAGTTAGATGTTTTAGGGTACGTTTTATATTCGATTTCTACCTACGAGGCATATCCACAAAGTAAGTACCCAATTTTTTCCTTTGCAAGAAGAAACCAGATTACACTCCTCACCGCACAGTTGGCGGGATTCAGAATAGCGACGTTCATTTCAACTCGCCACTACAACAACAGTTCTCAACTGAGACAAATGAGTGTGTAGCTCAAACAAACAAAAATGACAGAGTACCACAGTCTCAGTACTCTTATTTTATAGATATGCCTCATATTACAGTGCAACAATAACTTTAGGTTTACATAATTTAATTAAATGTCTATTACTTCTTCTGTAGGCATTTAATGCAAAATGTTCGATGCATACTTGAGATCCTTGTTCTTTGCCACCTGTTGATCGAATTTAAGGGCATTTTAGAAAGATAAAAAACAATATACAAATTGTCGTGAATGTATTTGTGGTGTGTTGTTTTTCAAAGCCAAAGTTGTTTAACTTTCGCTGTTCAAGGTGATCCCAAATTAAACTCTCCCAGAACTTAATGAAAAGTTTATGTGATTATTAAAGTCCGTGAGCAGTGCGTTACGTAAAAACCAGAGGCGCATACAGGACGTCACGATAGACACATTTACCACAATTAATTGTCACACTCTGGATCCCAAATGGCAATCGATGAATTACATTCGTTGTCAAAGCGTTAATATTGCTAGTTTTTCATGTCTTTTCTACGGAGCCTTCATAAATAATTACAAACCACATGACCGCCCAGCTCAGGCATCCAATATTGCACAGCTGGAACTGTCAACTAAAAATCCCCAAAATGTTATCTTCACCGATATTATTGATTCGTTTACAATGAACAATTCTTTAAAAAATTTGGGTACATTTCGTGAGAAAAAAATGTAAAAAACCTAAAATGGTGCTCTTGTTTGAAATCGAAAAGCCAATTGATCTAAAAATTTTTAATCTACTAGTAATTCTTACACATTTTATGGTATAAGCGAGGTGTGCTTTGAAAACAACTCCAAACCCCCAAAAATTAATTTACTAGAAAGGTGCAAGTCGCCATTTGCTCCTGCCTGTGGCACTTGGGCCACTTGTAAATATAATATTTTTTGAAACACCGTGTACCTTAGTTTTTAAACATCCTGTCAAAGTTTAATAATAACGTTTTCCAAAAAAAATTCACTCCATCTAAATATTGGATGTACTTTGGGTATCTCTCGCACCGACAAAAGAGGATTTTCGGCGAGGACTCTTTAAAGAAGAAATTTCTCTTAGGAAACGCTAAGAGGTCGCCTTCCGAATATGACGTTGGGATAGCGGCTCGCAAGGAAAACCTTTGGTAATGCCGAACTCCTCTTTTCGCGGCCTAATATGGGAGCGAGAGTTACCTACAGCATTTAATATTCATTTATATTAATTTACTTATTACTTATACTAAATTTCAATGAAATATATAGCTTTTTTTGTAAAAAAAATAGTTAAAATTTGATTCTAAAAAATCATGGTTGACACCCTGTATCTTACAAACAAAAGACATGATTTCGCAACTTCTACATTTTTTGCACTCATTTTGGCAACGCCCTGTAGTTTTTCCTGGAAAATTTTGAGTCTACCTAGAATTATCAAATTTTTTGTTTAAATTTTGTATACACCCTGGTTGTACGGAAACGAAGTACGGCATGTAATATATTTATCGACTCACGGACTTTAATCATCCTAAATCATAAATAAAAACTTTATAGTTTTTTATGATATTCACATACCATTTTTGAAAAGTAATTGTTAATTTATTCTCTTGTGGGTACACATGACCACGAATGACACATTTTAATTATTACGTCAAGAGTGCGAGCCTGACGCCGGACTGGCCTAATAGTTGCAAGATAAAGAATAAACACGGGATGCACCAGCATTCCAGGAAATGTCCATGGCAGATTGACGCCAGAACCAGATACTTATACATGCGAGCGACTCCATACTAGGACTCTCCAGCGAACGCTCGCCTCGACAACACGGGTCACCACTTGAGGGTTGCTTGCGGTATGCAGCAAAATAAAACTCTCTCAACAGTAAAAATAAAAGTATTTTTATTGAAATTAAAGTTAGTGAAAAAGAAGTGTTGTCGGGGCGAGCGTTCGCTGGAGAGCCTTGGTATGGAGTCGCTCGCATGTATATGTATCTGGTCATGGCACCAATCTGCCGTGGACCTTTTCTGGAACCCTGGTGCATTCCGCGTCGCTCTTTGTCCTTGCAACTATTAGGCCGGTCCAGCGCGGCGCCAGGCTGGCGCTCTTGACATAATAGTTAAAATGGATCACTTGCGGACATGTGAAGTACCCGCACTCTATTTTTTGTTAATAAGGAATTTTTTAAAATGGTGGCAACGATAGGAAAATCATATTTCTGTTTACATAAGAAAAATTACAAAGAACACTTACTCGACGTAAGTAAAAGTTACAACTGAAATGTTTTGACTATTAGAACATTAGTAAGTTTGTAGATAATTTAAAAACAATACAGTATTTGTTGTTATATTTAAATTTTTAGACATTTTTAATATTCACCAGCTTTGGATCTAAACTTAATTAAGGGATACTTGATTCAAATCAAATAAATATGTCTTTTGTATGAACATGATCAAATGCTTAAAGGTTTCTTTTTTAATATTAGTACCGAACTGTCGTAATTTATTATTTCATTTCGAAAAGCTGCAGAGACTGACCAGCATAGAGGAATAAAGTAAGTCCAGTTTTCTAGTATTCTATGATATATACTCGAGTCTTAACTGTTCTTTTGGTGGTTAAGGACTGCGTTAGTTTAAATGTAAATGGTACCTTAGGCGGATATAAGAGGTGGGCACTTTTATATGAATTTAAAAAATATATATAAATAAAAGGCATGAACAAAAGTAAAAATTTTATAGAACACTTTTAAATAGATATTTTGATATTTATTATTATTATAAAATGAGACTTTAATTATTAAAGGGAATTAATGCAATTACACAATGTCACTGTCGTCATCGTTAGTTTTGTCGATATGATTTCGATGCAAGATACATACACAGTCCGGCTATTAAGTTTTAAGATGGCGAAGTGCGTGTGCTATCTATGTGCGGAGCGACCAAGCAAAATTTCATTAGTATACGTGTATCATTCATGAAGTTATTAAAATTTTTCAAATAAAAGTCGTAGGATTTTGAAGGGGACATCTAATGGTGACCTTGACCATGACCTTCAAGGTCAAGTTGATTTTTTCAAATGGAAACATATTTTTGACGCGAGAAATGAAAAGAGCAGACAATTTTACATCCGACTATAACGTTGACCATGACCTTCAAGGGCATTTGAAGGTCATTTTAATTTTTTGTTGCAAAATTAATTTCCGTCTTGCCGAATAGTATACTCGGGGGTTTTCGCTGATTGCGAAAATTAAGTCAGAATTTGAAAATATTCAAATCCAATATGGCCGACAAATTTTTGGTAAACGTTTTTAATATTCGGATTAACACTTTGAAAATGCTTCAACCTACATTAAAACTCAAGCTCGAGCCGAGTATTCGACATATTGGATCGGCCGTATCGGACTTAACTGTTACTAAATTCTGAGCTAGTCTGAGTTAAATAACATTTTAATAAAAAATGCATGCCGCAAAGGGTTAATGGGTATTCTGGAAAATTATGGCGAGCCCCACATATCAAAAAGAAAATTATGAACAATATTAAAGTTTTGCCTGCAAAATACTAGAATGACCTTCAAATGACTTTTGAAATTTAAGGTCATGATCAGGTTATATCCGGAATTCTCAAAATTCTCCGCGCTTTCTATTTTGGTCTGAAAGATACCGGTTTCTATTTGAAAAATTAACTTGACCTTGAAATGACCGTGAAGGTCAAGGTCAATGTTGTAACAGTAGATGGACGTGAAATGGCCCGCTCTTCTCATTTCTGGTCTCAAAAGTAGAATTTTGCAACACAAACTAAAATTACCTTCAAATAACCTTGAAGATCATCGTCAAAGTCATAGTCGGATGTAAAATTTTCTGCTCTTTGCCAACATACTGATGGTTGATAGACGATTAGAGCGCTCAGCTTCGATGTTTTGAAGATCATGGTCAAAGTCATAGTCAGATGTAAAATTTTCTGCTCTTTTCAAACATTCTGATGGTTGATAGACGATTAGAGCGCATAGCTTCGATGTTTTCGCTCGTTCGGCTTGTGCGAGGACGCCCCGTCCACTCGTCTTTGTGCACGCAACAGGAAGACAGTCGGACGTGATATACACTTGACCGTATGCCATTTGTAACAGTTGATGCATTTCCGTGGCTGTTTTATCGCCCTTAAAACATAACTTGATGCTGTACGCTGTTCAATGCGTGCTTCCGTTGACAACTAGATAAACTCGTTTCACGCCTAACATTACAACTTCGTGGTAGACACACGTATCCTGGTGGAATTTTGTTTTTTCGCTCGAAAGGCAATGGCCGCACATATATAGAGCCACGCACTTTACCACAGTCTTAAAACTCAATAGCCGGACTGTGTTTACACATATCTAGAAAATTATAGTTTTTCAAAAAAACCGTTATGTTTAAAAGTATTTACAAATCACTTAGTGCTACAGCACCACCCATCTAATGTTTATTGTGTCAGTTTTCAATAAATTTATTATACGGTTGATAATGTTTCTCATATATCGCATTTATACGATTTCATCTAATGCTTTAGAAATTTAATATACCAAAGTAGCAAATTTAAGGTATCACATAAAGTTAAGTGCATAAATTTTCAGTTCTGCCAAATATATAATTTTACGTATAAAATTGCTGCTCTAAAGTATGATTGTTAGTCTTCCTTTGTACACTAATGAAACTTCCAATGGAGTATTAGAAGCGGTTTCTCTAAAACATCTATAGGTATTGTATTCGTGTGAGCTTCTTTATTGTTCAGTTGTAATAATGTTGAATGTTGTAGAAGACTAAAAAGTAATAACTTGTCTTAAGGAACCCTTAAAACATAGCTTTATGATGTAAGCTTTTTGTGGTTGTAACCAGTGTAATGTATGTAATATATTTTTTTTATCGTCTGTATATTTTATCGTTTATAAGGTAGGTAATTTAAGTTATGTAAATAAACACTTGATATCACTTTCTGATGTTGTTTGAATTTACCAGTTACTATTTATTTAAATGCTGTTAACTTTCAAAACTGAATACATCTCCGACAAATTCAAATTATTCTATACTCACTCAATAAATACATCGATAATTTGTTGGTTGATCCCCATTTTTGTTCAACAGGGGTTTTTAGCATTCTTTTAATACATCTACATAAAAAAATCAATGAATATGGAAAATATATATCTAAAGCAGTGGTTCCCAACTCTTTTGAGGTTGCAGTTTGCTACATCTGAAAACATTACGAAGCATTATTTGATGGAGGCGACTCATCAGACGTATTACTTTGAAATTTCAATTTTTAATTGCCAGCAACATTGACTTTAGCATCGAGTAATAGGACCATAACGTTGATGGCTTTTCTTTTTTCTCTTCAAAAATATGCGAGCAATACCGTTTCACTCACTTGATATTCTTTGTAATTTTCCATTTTTTAAAGCAATTATATTCATTTCATATATCGGCTGCGGTTTTTTGAGAAATAGTTCAATTGTAATGCCAGTTTTGAAAATTTACCTATCTTTCCAATCGTAACCGCGAAGCGAAGTAAAAAACTGCCCAATTAGAGCCGACCGAAGCGAGAACCCAGAGCCGATGCAGAAAGCGCGGCGCGGAAATGAAAATTTTCACCTCACTTTCCAAAATTCTGTCGTCGTGCTCAAAACCACTCCAAGCAGCTCAAACCGCTCCAGCCACAGCAGTCGACACTGCAGAGGCCAATGCTGTCGTAAGAATAATCCAGGGCGACACGGCGCGAAAACGGGGACTTTTCACCCCACTTTCCAAAGTTTTCGTAGTTACTCAAAAAAGTCGCTCCAACTCCACCGCAGCTGAATTCTACGAAATCGTAATTGAACGGAAACTCAATAAAGGTAAGACACAAAAGCAATTCCAGAAAAATGCCTAGGTCTAGAGCTTCGGAAATGGACAGGATGGCAGATCCGGAAGGTGGGAAAGGTGCCGCGCTAAACCAGATCACGCAACATAACCACTAGCGGAGATGCACCTGCTTGTGACCGAACGTCAACCCGATCCATCGTTAGTTCAATAACCAGAGGCAGATACCTGGCCAGAACCTGCAACACTGACCATGTGCTTATATCCATACATACCTATTATATGTTGTCAAATATCCATGCTCAAAAGTTCAAACTAAAACATAAAATTATAGAATTCGCATCTTTGTTATATTCTCTCAAAAAAACAGCCACACGATCTTTTCAAACTATCCGCTTAGGTCCGTCCTGACTACAGCGAAGACCCTCAAAGGATAGGTACCTAGCTCTTATGCTATCATATACTAATCCTTCTACGAGGCGTAGTGAAAAAAGTCCCTAAAGCTTATACAGGTTCGGAAAGTCCCGATAGTACATTGGCCGTTACGTAAGAGCGATAAAGTAAGTCATAGAAATCCGTGGGATAGACAAGGATGGTTCCATTGAAGACGTTTCATGATCTGAATAGTCACTCCCACTTCTAGCCCGAAACGGCCGTTAACTATTCAGATTATGAAACGTCTTCACTAGAGCCATCCTTGTCTGTCGCACGGATTTCTTTACTTTACTTTGTCGCTCTTATGTAAAGGCAGATGGACCATGTGGATTTTCCAGCCCTATATATGTTCTCTACGGAGGTCTTAAATGACGATTATAAAAAAGTGCTCCCTCCTTAAAAACAGTCTATAGGGTCAGTTGAAACCCTACAAAACCAACCCTTTTAACTCGAAGACAAGTGAAGTGCCAAGTGCCTCCTTGGACCCAATTAGGGCATGGACCATTATCCTGAAGCCAGCTGCAACGTTCTGAAAGATAAAATTGTCAAATCCAAGGAACTAATAGAAATCCGCAGCTAATTGAACAGCCCAATCTTTTATTTCCACGATATGGTGTCCAACGTCTGAAGAAATTTTATTTCTATCTATATCTACTTTTACTTTGTGCATATACAAAACAAAGCAGAACTGGCAGAGCAGAATAAAATAATTATTTATACATTTGCTATGCATTCTCCCTAGTAAATTCAATTAGCAATTGAGATTTTAAAACGTGATTCAATTAGTAAATTGATTTCCTTAATGTTTTTCTTTTAAAACTGAATATATAGCAAAATTTTAATATTCACGACGATAAAAAAATTGATTGATAAAAAGTCGATAAAACATTTCATCTTCCAATACAATAAATAACTATTACAGGTGCGATAATCACAACTTCTAGTATACAAGGCGGTGGCGTGGCAAAGAATTTCTAAGAAACACGAATATTGAGGATAAAAGTTTTATGCAAAAATATTCGGGACATTTTCTGTTGTATGATCTCTTGAGTTAAACATAACAGATGTAGCTTAGGCCAGCACAGAAGATTAAGAAAATCTTGTTTCCTAGTCCCTCAATTCCTCATTAAAATTTTCCTCAAAATTCGCCTATGTTTCGGCGACATAACATATAACATAACATAAAAAGAATTCATTCAATTTTTCACCGATCTTTCTAATATCTCTCGCAAGGCTCCGCAGATGTCGTGATTGCCGCCAGAATCGTCCCAGGGACATCCCCGACGATGCGAACAAGCGCACGACCGAGCGCAGCGTGCCTCCAACCAACTCTACTATGTCTCCTGTTTTAGCTGTTGTAACTGGTTCCATACAGGGTGTCTCAAGTTCCAGGGAAAAATATTTCTTCCTTTCTGCATACCAAACTACGTAATACTGACACAAGGTATTAGTTTGTATCTACTGGCAGAGAGCGACCTACTAATCTCTAGGTACCTACCATGAAAACATGACTAGGTAGCAAGTAAAATAAACTTTTAAATTAATGACATCGTGAGAAACAAACTACTTATGTCGATTTCTTCCACTAGATACAAAGCACCTTGCGCTAGTGCACACTAAAGTAGCATTGTCAATTAAGATATGACATAACTTGTAGGTTATATCTCATCTACTCTCAAAATGTTATTTTAATTTATTTCTAGATATTGCGGGTGTTATTCAATGTAGGACGGGATTGTAATCCCCAGAGTAGGTGATTCCTACAATATCATTAGTTAGAGGCTCTACAATATGAAACATTGGTTTTTATAAATATTCAAGAACTCAAAATATAGACTTTAGAACAGTATGTATGTACATGTAAAACTTTTTCAAATATTAACTAGTGACGCGGAAATTGAAAGAAATCCAAGAGGTTTCAACTGTCTAGAATGTTAGAGAATATTTTCTTGGACAGATTTGGACAGAAGTGAAGACAATATTCGATTGGTATCCTGATAGTTTGTTGCAATGTAGGCATTATCTTTTTCAAGCCTCTAAAAAAGTTGCTACATTTAAAATATCTTTTTTATGTTATTAACATTGTGGGTGATAGGCACATTTCTACTTTTGTAGGTATATAAAAAGGAATGAAAATTCAGATTATTCAATGCGAAATATTTTATTACAAAATATACATACATGTCTATACAAAAATATAATACTTCAGTGACTACTTCTCTACGCATTATAAATATGGCATTAAATAAATATATTCCTTTACAAAATCAGTAGAGAACTTATTTTTATAACTGTATAATACATCCTCCACTGAATTTGCGTAAATCGTAATCCATATTTCATTATCGAAATTCATCGTCATATTAATCATACATTCTATATACTTAATACAAAACATTAAAGCTATATCAGCCCAAAAGGGAAGGTACAATTATTATATACTTGGTAATGTCATGGAAATCTGTCTAATTAATTTCAAGATTAGTAATTCCTGATTTTAACACTATGGTATCAGTAATGTGGAGATCAACTTAATCCGTAAACTTAGTAAATTAACAATAAAATAAAATGTTATAAAGTGATGGTAAAACAATATACTTCCATGAATGTAAGCCCGATTAAATGTTTTAACAAAATACTTTCCATTCGTATTTCACATATTACCAAGCATGTACGAAAATTGAAATTGTTACTACCCTAACTACGAAATTAATACTGGTAACCACCTGGTCCTCCAGATGGGTAGCCTCCTCCAACCTGCTGGTATGAAATTTTGGGTTTGTAACCGTCCAAGTCGGCGGTGTATTCCACGGTTTGTAGTCGACCATCGGGGAGTAGGACGAAGTATTTTCCTTTGGCTACGTCACCTTGTCTTTCCTCTTGGTGGCCGAAATCGTTACCGGATGGAGGATCTTCTACGTGGTATTCGAATTGGTAGTTAGCTGGTTCCTATAAAAAAATATATAGTAATAAGTGAGTCTTCTAATATTCAACTAGCGTTAGCATAATCTTCTCGACAGGTTTTTGTCCAATCCAATTATCTTCATATGAAGTTGTGTTGAGGAATGTTTTGAATGATGAGGCAGTGGAAGAGGAAAAATAATTCTCGTTTGTTTTGACTGAAACTGAAAAACTGTTCTGCCATTCAGAAGTCATGAATTTTGCATCAACTAGAAAAAAATTGCATGCAACGACATTTGAATTATCAAAAATCTTTGAATTTAAATGGAACAGAATGATGAAAATAAATTTTAATGTAGTGATGAAGTAGATGCTGAGAACGATGACGATGCATGATTTGGATGGAGAAATTATTAAGAAACTGTCCATTCGATACAATAGGTCTGATCGTTTGTGTTGCTCGACTCAGTGCAACTGATTTTAAAGTCCAGTTATTTTGAGAGTTGACAGAACACAGAAGCAATAAAAGCAAATTATTTTTGCGACGATGTCCAATTTCTATTATTACATAATCTAAAAAGAAAACATCATATGCATCAGAATTTGATTATAAAGAACACGGAAAAGTCTCCAATTATATAAGGCATCGAAGATAATTTATACTTCATTTTAATTACTTGCCAAATTGGAATAATTTTCTGCGTCGCCTTTTGTCTATACCTCATTTTTGAGAGAAAAAAAGTGAAAACATGTGACTTATACGAATAAAATTAATTTATTATATGCTTCAGATTAAATTTATTTATGCAACGGGTAGCAGATGTTCTAAGAGATATTTCCGAGAAGATAGTAAGAAAGTCGGCTTCCTGCAGCGTACAGGACATCTAGACATATTTAAGCATATGTAAATTCAGACAGTTAGTGTATATAACAGTAAAGAATGACTGTAACCTACGCTTAATATGTAATTCTATTGAAGATTAATAAAAGTTGGGCATATGAGCAAAAAAGTAGTTGCAACATCGGTAAAATTAAAACTTGAAAGTAAAGAAACTACCAAATTGGACATCAATAAATTCATATGTTACTGAAAAGATATATGTAAACAGATATCCACTAATGCAGCTGCTATGAATTATTTTGACAAGATTTAGAAGCGTAGAAGAAAACATACTGATTAGCAAGATGTAATAATTCTGAAAGCAATGAAATTGGAAATAATACGCGATTCTAACGCATCAATAAAGAAGTTACTACTACTACTACCTATAGTAGTACTAACTATATTTCTCATTTTCTTTTCTGCTAATATTGAAATGGAATTCTAAAATGTGCTCTTCTACATTTTGGAATCTATTTTTTACAAACATTTATTCTTAAAATAATTATACTATTTACTTAAAATGTGACTTGGAATTTGTGCAAAATGAATAATTCATTGATAGCTACCGTGAAGTGTTAATTATTTGCAAAATACATTCTTGTTCTCTGATATTATTTATGAAGGTATGAATTCATTAAATATGCAACTTGATATCTAAATGAAATTTTTACGTAATACTTTCACCGTATTCCGATTGCTTTTATGTAAAAATAAAACATTTGTAAAATAGTTTACTGTATTTTTATGAGTAATAAAGTCTTGTTTGACTTTACGATTACCTTCTATAAAAAAATCTTATGTCATAAAACTTGCAGGTAATTTAAAAAATATTAATTTAATGAACATATAGAGAGCAGGGAACTCGCAACACCGAAATATAATCGGTTCATTTATTATGAATAATTAAACACGCTTTTCGTTTAAAAATTCTCAAATCCATTTAATACAGTTGCTTTTGTACATGAAGTACAAAATTGAGTAATGGTAGTTTAAAAGGATCATGACTGTAAAATAGACAGTGGAACAGAAGAGAAGTAGTTCGACTGAAGTATACATGCCTGCATACAGCATAAGTAGCAGATGTTTTAAATCTACTACTAAATCACTTAAATCTAGCTACATGTTCTTCGATAGTCAGGATTTCTTAGACCCAGTGCATAAAGACATTGAAGGAATAAAAACATTTTCTAAAAAAGGATCTGCAGTGGCTTTCCTATAATTCTATTAAGCAGGATTGGGAAAAGTTGATGAAACACTTAATAATAATAATGTTAACTGCATCCTCAAAGAAGTGAACTGATGATAAGCAGAGTCCGACCAAGATCAGGCTCAAAGAAGTTAGACTTTTAACTGGATACTGTTTATAGAAAAAGCATCTCCACATTAAAAAAATAGTAGAGAATTTGATACAGGTGAGATGCAACTAGAAAGAAGCATCTGCATTGCACATCCTCCATAAGACCATCGAGACTCATCCAAGAAGTAATCTTAAGATATAAAAGATTTTGGAACTGCCTTCAAAAAAATTGTAATGATGATTAGACACACGAGTTAAGAAAAAGCTGCAGTAGCTTGCCTTAAAACCAAATTAAACTTTTTCAATTATTTAATTATCTAATTCCCAAACTCACCCCTTCGTAGTCGTATCCTTTTCCATATCCTCCAGGGGGTAAGTAAGCTGCATTGGGGGCACCGTATACTGGTTTTGGTGGACCATACAGATTATTCGGCCTGATCACAGCTTGGGTTTGTGCAGGAGCTCCATAACTATTTGATGGAAGAGAAAATGGTTTTGGGGCTCCGTACTGATTTGAGGGAGGGATGTATTGGTTGGCGGGCAGATACTCGCTGCTTGGTACTGGAGGTTCAGCGAGAGCAAAGGAGATGGTGGCTAAAAGTACTACAGCGACCTGTAATGAAATGGAACATGTATATTATCTGTAAATAATAGGTACAAATATACAATGATTATTTTAATGCTACTGTTACAAATATAGGTAACAAAGCCTTTTGGTTACTTGACTGATATTGGAACACGTTAATAAAATTAAACAGAATAGTACATAGTACAAAGTAGTATCACAGTACATAACTGATAGCTTTATGATGTGAATATATTTATTTTTCTCATATTCTAGATTCTAATGGTGTGCATTTCATCAAATAAACAATCAAAGACACAAATCAAACAAGTTTTTTTTTTAAATTTGAGCAATTGTAATCTCATATACACGTATGTTACAAAATTAAAATCCATAAATTAAGTATTAAGTTTAAAAATGAGACACAATAAATATACAGGGGTACTGTCCAATAAATTTACTACACCTATAGCGTTACAAAAATATATTTTATTTAATTGGTTACCATTTAATAGCGACATTTTCTACACTTACAACCATTTTAAACTGAACGCATTTCTAGGTAGGATATTTATATTCTCATAATTTTACATAATGTGTTGTGTACACCTCTAATGATTACAAAAACACCCATAAAGTGCTCTACATTGCGAATTACGTTTAGTATGTAAGTGTTTACACATGGGCTTCATGACACTTATACGTTTCTGCACACTTGTGGCGTCTGTACAGATTGAATAAGCGATATTTCTCAAAGCTGTAAAACGGAATCCGCAGTTATATAACTTCCTATTCGGTTGAGACACTTTTGAGATTGTTGTTCGTGTGTATTTAGTACCCCTGAAGCACGATAAATTGAGTGCGTTGCACTTTATTCCAGCCTAGTAATCACCTTTATTCTGTTTTTATTTCCACAAATCCATTTCCATGAATTGTGATTGGGAGATGGAATCAGAGCAATGAGATGTTGTTCGTGTAGCCTCGATATACCATTTGTTATACTGAATATTTTGTTACGTCAAATAATGCAGTGCATGCAATGCAGGATATACAAAATAAATAAACAGGATAATCTTTTAGATAATTTAAAAAAGTATGTTGTACTGCATAGTAAAGTTTGATACAAAAATAACTTATTTTTTTTATTGCAAAAATGACATCTTTATTAACGGCGAGTGGAGCAAGTTCATGAACGAAATAAGTAATAAATTCTATTTTTTTTTGTCGTATATAAATTGCAATGAGAATTTTCCTTATTGTTGTTGTGACATAAAATTTGACGTAACTATGAGAATTTTCGGGTGTATCGCATTTATTTATTTTATTTTTTAAACCGATTTGTAAAAGTTCATGCAAATTTTGTTATTTCTTTTATTATTAATTGAGAAAATCAAAATGTGACATTTTCTTTTCTGTCTTTAAAGGCGAAGATATTTTTGGTTCTAGGAAGAAAAAATTTCGCTTTCGTATCATAATTTAATGTAACCGTAAGCAGGTAATTATATTTCCTCAGAGTTACTAAATAATACCTAAATAATTAAAATCAAACATTTTAATTTTCCACTGAGGCAAATTGACTAATAAGAAAGTTTTGCTACGATAATCTGTAATAATTATAGCAACTTTTCTTATTAGTGTGGCAATAGTAACCTTTTAAATATAAAAGGAAAGTTTAAAGAAGTAAATAATTGAATCCAGTTAAGTGCAAAAAGATCACTTATTAGTGTCTAAAAAGTTACTTCTTTGAAGTAAAGAAAAATATTTGCTGGTATTGTGATAAAACTTCCTTTAGCAAAATATTTATTATTGTGACAACAGCATTTTAGAGACTATTTAAAGTAGATATTTAGAGTTAATCAATTTCTACTTGTAACTAAAAGATATTTCTCTCGGTGTACAAGCTCGGTTTCTTATTGCCATTAAAAAAATAAAGGGCTTTCCTTTTTTTCATATCCTTAGGCATAGTAATGGATATACCCGACTATGCTTTCAATAATTTTCAAATATCTTCTCAATATCATAATAATAATAGAATTAGTAGGTAGTTACATCCCGTAAGAAAAAGTATTTTCTCTATCAGATTAAATATGTTAAATTTTATTTTTTGAAATGTTTAGAAATATGATTAGAACTGGGTAATCACTAATACAAAGTATTGTAACTGATTTAACTATATGCTTTTAATAAATCAATTATCATCGAATCAAAAAACTTCAGACAAAAATGAATAAAAGTTTTATTTTAACAGGAATTAGATTAGTACTGCTGGACATTACTCTTAAAATAAAAAAAGTGTCATTGTTAGAGCAAGTAATTCTACTTCCTTATTTTTTTATATACGAGTATAATGCTAGTATATAATATTTATACTTTTGTTCCTTACCTTCATCTTGCACTGGTAAATTTCCAAAAACTACACAAAAATACTTGTTAGGAAACTAATATACTTAATTTAAGTATTCCCGATGATGAATTAAGATGATCTGATTGTAGTAACCTCTACCGGAGCTTATATACTAAAAAGACAAAATAGTGGGTGCACATCCACAAACCACGAAATATTTCACTTTCATCCAAAACCTTGCCTTAAGACCATCACTCTGAAAATTCTTACACCCTACCGCTCATCTTTGCCCCTCTCACTTGTTTAGCGCCAAAGAATGAATTCTAAGATGTAGCCCATACGTTCAGCCTTAAAATTGTTTATCAAGATGTACTTGCAAATCTTTCAGTGCGATCAGATCGATAACGTAGAAGTAGAACAATTGGTACTGCTGATTTATCGGCAAAAAAGTCTTTTCTATAGCAATAAGAATAAACGTAAATTGTCTTATTTAAATAGTTGCAAAAAGTGATTTTTAATTTCGCATTTGTATTGTGAGTAGGATTAAAATGTTTATTTTCTTCAACCAAGTATATATTTACATAAAATCTCTGCATAACAATAGTATGTGCCTTGTTACTTGACTAATTATTTTGACATTATAAATAGAACACACGTCAATTACGAACATATACTGGTCAATAATATTTCCGCCTTTCGATAAACGAATTTCGTATAATTTTCTATAATTAGACTGTTGCCATAAGCTGTAAGTATATCATTTTTGGAATTGTATCTCTGTTCCTTAGTTTAATTTTAATTGAACGATTTAAAATCACGACTTAATTGAAGAGAGATTTAATTAGAGATCAGACTGCCCAATAACTAAAATCGTAAGTTAACTTACTATCATCATATGTGAAGCAAAAAGTTACCTAATAAACCTACAAAAATGTAGAGGAATTTTCAAGCATTGTTAGAATCTGTGTTGCATATTACAGTAATTGCTAACATAGGTATGTTATCGTTATTTCACTAGAATTTATATGACTCCAGTCGAACAGAATAACTACAATTTTTTAATTAAAATCTACAAGAATGAAAAATACCAAAGGCGGTGTAACTATATACCTTTAAAAGGCGTTCTAATGACTGAATTTACTGAAGAAGTATTTATGAAAACAACAACGAGAGTAAGGATTTTTTGGCCGTTTTACAGTAAAATATATACCGGGGGAAACATTACCTTGTAGTTTATTTGATCTCTCAAGATTTTATTTAATTGAATATTTCTTCTACACTGAAAATACAGAAAATGTCGCAGAAAATAATCTTAATTGAACCAACTGTTTTAGATGCATGGCGTTTATTTATTTTTTTATAATTATTTTTCTAAATGTTCTATTATAATCCCTATAAACTGAAAAGAAAATTCAGATACATCTCTACTTGAGCGTTAAGCTTTAACAGAAAAAAATTGACAACAATGCATTCGTTAGAGGTATTAAGTAATTCAATTAAAATTTTGTGTAACGAAATTTATGTCCGAATTATAATTATCTTTCAATGTTATTTTACCATATTAGACTTTATTGTTTATATTGTCTAACAGATTCCAATTAAATATTTTCTTTATTGGTACGTATTATTTTATTATTTCTAGATCCATAAAACAGTGTGTTTTGTAATGTATCTAATAATAGAAACATGTTGCAAGGTTTTATACAGTGTGTAACAGATTTAACATGGAAAGTCTCTTCCAAAAAAAAACTGGTGATCTTATTTGCTTTATTTTTTCTTTAGATAGAGCTCACAAAATCTGTTGCATTACACGATATTTGAATTGATTTTAATCATCTACTTTTCACTTTCAAATTTGAACGAAATCTATTGTTAGTAATTTTTTTAATTTAAAATCTGAAAATGATCCTAAACTCAGCATTGTCCAAAATATATGATACTAAATTTAGTGAAAAAATATTTTATACATTAGTATCACGTATACCACCGTGGTTTCTATCACTTCTGTCTTCTTCAAATCATCTGTGATTATTCTTAGTGCACGTGCAGAGTATAACAGAGCCGGCGTAGGGGTCGGCGTCCTTCACAGCTGATTAGCGTTTTGAACTTTTCAGTTATTTATGGAATGTTGTAGTAATTGGTGTCGTGTTGATACCTTTTCATTTGAAGAGCTATGCCTCGTCCAGCGCTGAAGATTCTGTATTTTTTTTTTATGAACTTACAGACACCTTTCTTTCAAGCAATATTCCGTTAAACACACTAGAGAACTCCAAGTTCCGTAATTTCGTAAATTGGAATCACGTTGACTATCCCTAAATGAACAATTTGATTTAATGGATGATGTACAAAAAAATATATACGATGCTAATAATATACGCCCAGTACGATAAAAGAAAAAATGCAAAAAGTGTTGAAAAAACAAGGATACACCATTTTGGAAAACATATGTAAAGATTTATCTGGTACATATCAGGAGTTGCCAGCAAATATATTAATATATAGTTCATGCCTCAACAATTTCTCATACTGTCCATTGTCAACAGTAGACGTTGAACGGCTATTTTCTCTACACAAGTTAATATTAAGTGATAAACGTCGCCGTAAAGAAAACTTAGAAAAGCACGTAGTAATATGCCACGGAAGCTTTGTCTCGACACTAAGGTTTATCGGGTAAGTGGTGCCATTTAAATTTATATAGGTATTTTATTCTCTACATAGCCTTCTTTATATTTTCTGACATATTTTCTGTAAACATATTAACATTTTCATTCGTAATCTGACTACGGTCCTGTTAAACTCCGCGCCCCACTAGTCTAGTGATTACCTTGAAAAAGTGACATAACTAATTTAATAATTTTTATATAGGTATATTTTCCAGCTAAACCAATAAAAAATTATTTTTTAAATATTTTATTGAATTGAATTGAACTACCTAATCAGAAATTAACTAGAAATTTTCCATGACAAAATTCAGTGTTGTACAAGGTGGTCTTGAAAAGCCCAGGAATGATTGGACAAAATTAAATACTTCCTTGTTCAATTTTATATTGAAGAAATGAAAGTGAAATGACAGATATTTTATTTTTTTTTTGGGGTAGTAAGGGGAAGATTTCTACTGAGGTTCCCGGATTTTTAATGATTATATTGTATTTGTAATAAAATATGCGTTTATTAAACTAATTATGTGTCTTGCCTTAATAAAACAATTACGCCATTTTTATTGCATTTGCTACAAGGGTAAACGTAAAAATAAATTAAAACAGCCCATAAAAGTATGCAACTCTTTCGCAATTAGCCACCGTGCTTTGTATTTTTCAAATTACTTAGCAGATTCTGTAAAATTCTCTTTGTGTGGATAACTCGATGCAAGATAAAATACAGGATACAGGAAAAATAAACGTTTTTTATTTAAAGGTATACGCATCGCACGCGGTTTGCGCTTATCTTAAAATTACCTTTTGTTTGAGTAGTATAGATAGTACTGCACTGATAACAGCATTACAGAATCTGAATATTTACAGTTCGTTCCTATGATCTAAGCTGGATTATACAGAACGTAAATACTAAATACTGATACAGTGAGATATGTAGTTGAATGTTATTCTTTTTACTGTTTATATAAATAGAAAAAGATTTGGACTGATCGATTTTTTATTTCATCAAAACAAACTTCACATTCGCCCTTCAATAGTAGCAATAAATTTTTTTATACAGGGTGTTCCACCTAACAGAGATTCTTCTGTAACTCTGCAACTGTAAAATTTATAAAAAAAAATAATAAAAGTTGCCTGGAATCATGTGGGCCATGTAAAGCTAAAATATGTTTAGCTTTTCAGGGAGTTCCTTTTCGCGTGGGTGCTACATAACTTTGTTATTTTAAATGGAACACCTTGTATATTATTGCATTTTCCTTGGTTAATATTAGATAGTTTATTAAAAGTACATGGTGTTTAAAACTTACCGTTTTCGAGATAGTCAGCTAGCTAAATGAAGCTAGATAGCGCCTAAACCATAAAAGTTATAAACCTCCAGTTTTCACAGTTCGTTTTGGCAACTAGCTTGTCATCTGTGAGCAAAACATGTACGCTATTCAGACTCGGAAATACTGAGAGTTACATTTAATACGAAAAACTTTTTTTTTCAAGTGGAATGACCCATATTAATTGTCATGGGTGAATGCAAAATTGAATGCTTTTTATACTGACATAGGGTCAGTTGGGGTAATTGTAAACGATTATAATAAAATCAACTTTGATAAAGTCTAAAATTTGAAGTTTAACAGTTGTGAAGATAACCTTAATATTGGACATTCTCTGGAACATCTTCTAGAATGCCTTAAACGTGCAACTTAACATTGTTAACCGTTACCGAAAAAAAGGGTGTTTACTATTACCCAGGAAAAAAAATTATAGAAATATTGGGGCAAATGTAAACTAACTATTTATTGTTCTATAAATTCTAAATTAATTCTAGCCTATTCTAGCTCGAGCTATAAGGCAATTCGGAAGGTCGTTTCTGCATCTATTGGGATTGCAAGACGGCGTCCTGCATACTCCTAGGCTTCATGGTATTTTTTCTTCGATTAATCCTTTGATATATAACGGCAATAGGAATATTGTCAGTCTCCCTGTCTGTCCTGTTTTATTGATATTCTGTACATAATTAACAGCATTAATAAGATCCAATTCACTGTATCTTTCAATGTTCGGTCGTTTCTTCTGATAATTTGGCACCATTGTGTTTCTGAGAGTATATAGAAACGTGTTTACAATTACCCCTTAAATGTTTTACAATTACCCCCTTTTAAATTTTTTAACGGGGCAATTGTAAACACACATCTACTATGAATTTGTGAAGCCTAACCTAAAATAGTAACGTGGTTTCACATTGTTCATTCAATAATGAACGCTACTATATAAATAAATTGCCTTATCTTTTATCAAAATCTGATTTATGCACATTTAAAAAGCAAAAGCAAATTCTGCTTAACAAACTTTTGAGTCGTATCTTCGAAAAGTAACTGCCACAAGCAGAAAACCAACACAATGAAATCGTTATTGCTGTACTATAACAAAACATAAATCCACATGTCACGGATGCCGTTGTACGTCGTTGCTACCC